TTTTATTTGTTTGTTGGGTTTTTTTGTTTGTTTGTTTGTTTTTTTTTTACATACAGATTTATGTATGGTTTAGGATCCCAATTATTAATCTGCTCACCCGAGTATTTGCTGAGGTAATGTGACATTGGCTAAGATGGATGTGAAAAAAAAAATGCTGCATCAATTAACAGAAGACAGACAAGAACAGAACAAGAACAGAAGACAAGTGTTTTTCTATAAGAAAAACACAGTCTGAGTTGATACAGCACATCTTTGAAGCACTGAACAAAGTCAATAACTTCATTAAGAAGGACAAGTAAGGTAGTAAAGATCAGTATTTCACCATTTCCCTTGGCTTCTCCTACTCAACAGAGCTGTCTGTTGCCTAGAGTCAGAACTGAAGTAAATAGTAGAGCAGAGATTAGAAACCTGGTTTTCCAGTTCTTAGAACATATTTACTTAATATATTCTGGAAGTATGCTTTACTCTGTCCACAAGACCTGAAGGTCTAAGGAATCAGTAAATCCAGAGAAAAGGTGTCAAAGTAAAGGTTCAAAGTGGTATGAATTAAGCTGCTTTTTTCACTGATTTAGATGCATCATTTTCCTGTAAAGTGAAATCTGTTTCTGAAAATCTTATGCAGAGTACTACCAAGAAAAACTCAGTCTTTGTATCATGTTTCTAAGAGTAAATGTCTTTAGAAATTTAAGAACAGGAATAATAAAAGTTTGATTTTTAATGAAATGGAAGTCTTCTCCGTATGTGATCTTTCTAAATGTAAAGTGATTTGAACTTCCAAACATCTGCCTGAAAACACTATGTTCTGCCCTATTTATTCTGTCTCTAACAGCTGCTAACCTATTAAACTAGCTGCTAAGCTATTACATTAAGAACGTTTTCTTTGTTAAAGGATGACACATGGGAGGTTTTAAATTATTCCTCGAAACAACTTTCACTAAAGTAAATAGAATGGGCTGCAATCATATTTAGCATTGATCACCAATTCTGAAGATACTAAATGAAGCAAGTAACTTTGCATTATCTTAGTGAATGTATATAATAACAGAAAAAAAATGTTACTGCATCAATTCTACTTATTTCATAGACAGTACTATTTTGAAAGCCACATAGCACATACTTGGAGTCAGTAATCCAGGAATATTTATTCATTAACATTTCTATTCTGGTGGTAGTTCAGTGAATGCTGCTTCTTACTCATTTAGTAGCCTAACAGCTGTCACAAAATATTGACTTTTTTTTTTTTCCCTCTACATGCCAAATGATTTTTTTCTGCCCTCCAAAACTATCATTAATGTTATTCCTATAGGAAATTACTTACAGCTTCAGAATATTTGAAATTTTAGAGCTTTTAATCCAACCTTCACAATCCGATGTTCTAGTGATTTACATATTTCAAACATGATTTATAAAGCAAATATATGCTATTCTTATCTGCAGGGAGAACGTGTTGTAATTCATTTTTATGCCTTTTTTTTTTTTTTCCCTGACAAACTAAGCCTTGATTACTCAGTATAAATTCTAATTATTAGGGAAAGATGACAGATTCAGGATGGAGAACAGAAGGAAGAGGCCAAAAGCAAAAGGCTATTTCCAGGATAAAGAAGCCATCAAAATGCTAATAAGCCCTATTCCAAAAGGGTAATATTATTTCTTTGTTCAGCTTTATTTATAAACACACAGATCTGCAGCAATGGTTGCAGACTAAAAAGCTCTGTGTCCAAAATGCACGTTGTTCCAGAACCTACAGAGAATAAAAACCCTGCTCAGTTATAAAGTCTTCAGAGCAAGCACTGGAATGAAAAATGACAAAACTCTCCAGAAATCTGAAGTTTGATACGAAAGGCCTTCCTTGTACAGAGATTATTCTGAATCAACTAGACAGAAGATAACTGAAAATTTGTTCTCATCTTGGTCTGGTGAGAATCTTCTGAAGGTAAGCAATAACTCAGCACCAGCCTTTATATTCTCCTAGAAGGAAAGAAAACCATCTGACTTATCTGATTACCTGATGAACAGGCTAGGTCATATTTTGAGAGAAGAAAGTGAAAATTCTATGCAAGTTCTTGACATACCATCACAGCATCTCAAAAATTACAAGGGAAGCGGGAGAAAAGAAATTGACTGAATGGGAGATGGGGGGGGGGGGGGGGGGGGGGAAGAGAGCAGTAGAAAACCAATAAAAGATTCTATAGAGTACAGAAAAATTGAAAGAGTATTTCTAACTTTTTTTTTTGGGGGGGGGGGGAGAGGGGCAGGGAGAAAGGGAAGCCTACATAGGCACATATTTTTAAAAGAATGACTAATGAGAAATGTTTCTTGCACATTTGTGTGCTAGGAAGCTTGGATAGGTGTTCTTAATAAGACAAGAAAAATTCAATATCCCCTTTGTGAAACATGTTCTTTTTCCCTTCGAATGCTAAGGACTTTTAAAATTTTTTTTTTATCATTTATTTTGGGATAGTTAACTGGAACATACAACCAAAATATTGAGAATAGGCTTAGGCATGCAGGTTTACATATGCATTACACCAATCTTAGGTAAACAGCTTAAAGAATCTTTAAGTCTCCTCAAAAGAGACAGAGACGCTTAGTTGAAGTAAACTAAACACGCAGTAGACATCACATGCTGTAAAGACTAATTAACACAACAAAATATACAAGCAGATTATTGTTATAGTCAGAAAGAATAGCACAGTGGAAAGGCAATACAGAAGTGGAATAGCAAAAAAGACAAACAAAAAAGGAATGCTCACCTGTCTCCAAGGATCCAAGCTCACAAGGAAAAACCCCACAAGGGAAGGACCTCTGATCAGAGATCCTCCCCTAGTGAGGGTCAGTCCTTTAATGGGGTCTAAGAGAGGTGCAGCTAAGCTCCACCCCTTCTGGTCTGGTCACACATGTGAATTGCCTTCACCTGTGCTCCCAGGACTGACTGGATCTTTTTCCCAGGTGATCAATCAGTGGTTCAGGCCATGACTCAACAGTTCCCATACAACTATAAACAAACAACCTGTTTATAACAGTGCTAGTTTGTGTTTGAATAAGTGTCTGAGGGGGAAGAATGAGAGATTTAACTGCTTAAAGCAGCAGTCTGGGAGTGCTTCAAGAAGCTGATGTTAGCCATGGAAAAAAAAGGAAAAAAAACAAAAAGGCAAAGGAAACAATGAACAACAGAATTTTGACCTTACAAAAAAATGCAAGGCTTATCAATACTTCTATCTCTTCCTTTAATTAAAGTCACTAGATCACATCATGTCTTAGGTAAGCATAAGCACATACATCTCTTTTAATTGTCTTTATGTTCACCTGGTATTTCCTTTAAGAGACATTAAAGCTAAATGGGTGAGTTTGATATGTGGTCCTCTATAGGTAAACAATATTACAGCACAGAACAGGAAACCAGATGAAAATCCTGAAGACACGACAGAAAGAACTGCTAACTGTGTGTATGACAACTGTTGAGTCACAGCCTGAACCACTGATTGAACACGTGGGCAAAAGACCCAGTCAGCCCTGGGAGCACAGGTGAAGGTAATTCAATTGTGTGACCAGAAGGGGTGGAATCTGGCTGCACCTCTCTTAGACCTCATTTAAGGCTGACTGCCAGTGGGGAATGATCTCTGGTTGGAGATCCCTTTTTTGTGGAGTCTTTCCTATAAGACTAGATCCTTGGAGGTAGCTGAATACTTTTTCTTTATAACACCATCCCATTTATGCTAGTCTCTTTGTTACTGCACACCTGTATTGTCCTTTCACCATGTTAATCTTTCTGACTGTAACACAGAGCTGCTGCACCTGCCTCTAGGTCCACATCAGGCCTGGTCTCATCTGCATCCACATGTCATGTCCTGATGCTGGCATGTCACAACACAGAAGAAATACCAGAAGTCTTTTGCATTCATTTTGCACCCCTGTATCCACATCAATCTCAGCCTTAGCCAAAATGAGGAATGCAGATGGGGATTCTGTAGAATTTTATGTAACTCTCACTGTTAGATTGCAGCTACACTGTTTGGCTTGCACTGCACAAGTAGTTCCTATGTTAGGACAAAAGGGGAAAACTGAAGTTCTGTCTCCAGGTGCTAATGTGTTATTATCAGAACCATTAGCAATATGGTTATTTCTAATGTGGCATGGTTTGTGTTTGTATGCTGCATGAAGTTCATTGAATCCATACATATACATCAGATTGTCTCAGAATAGTGTTTTGGGAAGACAGATGTTTATTTCACTCTAACATTCACATTTGTGAGGCTATATTGCCTATTACATTTTCTTCACAGTTATTAACTTCAGCCAGTGACAGTAGTAGATACAGAATTTGAACTGAAGTTCTATATTTCAGCAGCCTTCACTTGAAATAGACACAATTAAACTTTCTAGAATATTCTTGGTTGACATAAAAAAAATTAAGAAATTGTCCCCACTAAGCTCCAAATCAGATCACCTTTGAGCACTTCCAAATCAAATTCTGATTCAAAAAATAGAGTTAAAATTTCCAAATATCTATCTATACTATCCATCCTAATATCTACTTTATTCAGATTTAAAAATCACACACAAACAGAAATGTCATTTTTGAACAGTGGAAGTACTTTTTTGTTCCACAAATTTACAGAGGGATTGTTTTCTGCATATTCCTCTCTGTGCTTTTACTGGTGATGCAGTTATTGCACAATGAAAGTTATCCTGAAGCGTTTGATTGCTGCTGCAGATCACATACTGGTGAATGGCAAATCAGTAGCTCACTTGCATGCAACGGTGATTTTTCTTGTTTTTAATACAGAACACTCATTTAAATTAAAAATCTGTTGTTTTTTTTTCTAAACGTTAAATTAAAATCAAAAGCATGCCAAAAATACTTCCAATTTCTCTTAATGTTCCTGCTTGTTACTATAGTATTATCAGTGACACCAATTTATAGTCCTATTTCCACCAGTAACAGACTCAGAAAACCAAAGAATTTAATTTTCATTTCACCAGCCTTGTATTATATAGTATTGAGATTTTCCTTCAGCTTTATCTATAAGTGTGGGTATATTACTTCAGTGTATTGCTCTGCTATGAAGTGCTGACATACAAAGAGCATCACTTGCATGCTTTGCTGGTCCAGAAGTGTGGCAAATCCCAGGTCTTAATAAATTAAGACATATCAGGATGTCCTCCTGCCCATTTTCAGCAAACAACGCGCCTACCTTTAGTGGCCTTAAGCAAGCATGGGAAGACATTTCTGCCTCTTGCGAGGCATTCTGAAAGCTGCATTTGGCAGTTGAAAAATAAGTCCCTGGCCTTAGGTGTCTGTGAATCTCTTTGACATGCTGGGATACATTTCTGGTCCTGTCTCATCTCCAACCCTTCTTATTTTAACCTACAATGTAACAATGTTACATAGAGTTCTAAAGCCAAAGCAACAAAAAAATACTACATGAAATATCAGTCTAGTTCAAGCCTATGTTTCCTTGAGGGGTTGTTCCCATCAACCTAATTTAATCTTGCCATTAACATTTCCACAAGACAGTTTTTCTTTACATCCCTTCTGCTGGAAGGTATCTGCAGAGGTAGCATTTTTATACTTTCTTTAACCTCTTTTCTTCCTCTTCTAAAAAAAAAAAAAAAAAAAAAAAAAAAAAAAAAACCCAAAAACAAACAAACAAACAAAAAAAAAAAACAAAAAAAAACCCACAACAACAACCAAGAAACTGCTTATTAAAAAACAAAAAACAAAACAAAAAAAAACCTATTTTGTATCGCTTTTGCTACAGATGTAAAGAGATTACTTTTTAGTGCTATAGATTTTGGTAATCTGCTAAAGTATGTATGTTCAGCTATTGCACTTTTACAATTGCAGCTTTGTAACTTCAATATTAGTAACTTTCATAATTACTTAAAAATCTAATCTAGGCAGAGAAAATGAAAATTCAACATTCAATACTCAAAATGAATACAAAATGACCATATTTATTTCAGAGAACATGACTGCACTCAAACAACCAGCCACAGGAACATCATTTCTTCAAAACATTTAAAACAGTGTTGTTTTTCCTATTTTCATCACATGCTGTGTACCTTCCTCCTGTAGTTTGCTTCTCAGTTATACGAGGAACAATGTCTATATGCAGGGGCTGTCACACACACAGCTGCTTCTCCTAGCTTAGGAAAATTTCTTACTTTGGCTTGCAATGAAATCAGCAGCACCAACTCAAACCACCTTACATTCTCTAAAGAGTAAGAGCAATGAAACTGACTGCTCTCAAGTATCTTACTTTTGTGCTTTGAGATGTGAAATACATGCTTTTCTTCAAACCACAAATGTTGAGATTCTGGATGACTCTTTAACTTGAAAACTGTTCAGGCCAGAGAGTAGTAATTCAGGATCCTTGAAAAAAAGAGCAGATAAGGCTGACCACAAATATCTCTAGAGTGTAACAGTTCCTCTAACACCTTCATTTTATACACACTATAAAGAACAGACTTTCCCTCCTTATATGCAGAAGTCCTTCCGTGCTGTTATCCAAAGATATTTCTATAAATATCATTTCAGTCAGTTTAATGACATTCAGTTGATCTTTCTTAATAGTAAGCAGAGTAAGTTTTCTTACCCTTTCCCACACCTTCCTAATACCAGTAGCAGATTTAGCACGTCTGTGAGAATGATTCTGGGGAGAAGGCAGTGAACCAATAATAAATAGAAAAAGTTGGGAGAGCCATGTAAGAGTTCCTATTCTCTTTGCTTGTTTGTTTTACATTAAAATTGACTGACGATTTGGGTAGACACAAACTGTTGAACAAGGTCAATCAAGGGTCATATCTCAGAAGTGATGATAGGGAAGATTTTGAAGTTTCTTCAACTTGATTGGCCACTGAAAGAGTAGGAATATGAAACCGCAGTTTCTTTTATCTCTGTAAAAATAAATAGAAACTGCACCTCAGACAAAAGACATGGATAGAACTGAATGTGATTTATATTCATAGGTTTTTATTGTGTCCCTGTAGATGTGTCAGTCACTCACTGATCCCTGTAAATTAAGTTTCAAAGAGCAGTTAGGCATGCAAATAAGATCTCTGAGAGGAGTTAGTAGCACAGCTTACAGATGGCACTAGGTGAAGCAAGAAAAAAGAAAAAGTCACTTTTCAACTGCAGTATTTTCCATCTCTACATATGAAGATAATGTAGATTGTTGTGACTGAGAGCAGCATAAAATGGAGAAAAAACTCAATAAGCAACAACTAAAACCATGAAAGGAATAATACTCTGAATAGTTGTCATTTTGAGGTTTCCATGCAGCTGGATGATGTTTTCTTGCTTTTTTTGGGGGAATGTATTCAAGTTGTACTGTGTGCACTACAAAATTAACCTGAATGATCATATTAAAAGAACAAACTAAAATGCATTTATTGCTTTCTAAAGGTAAGCATTACAAATATACTGGAGCAGAATTGCTCTTCTGCATATCACAAAATTCAGCTACCTTAAATTAGGCAGCTGGAGCTGGTTTGAACACATTACTGCTACTGTTAGCACCTGTATGCACTAAGAATCTCTGATTCATCCAGACTGTATATAACAATGTTTTGTTAAATAACCCTGGTCAAGAAGACTGGTAATATCTCAGAAGTGATGATGGGACAGAGAAAGTGTTATGTCTAATCTGTGATGAACAATTCCCTGTCATCCTCACTCTGACTTTGTTGTTTTCAGGCTATTATTTTTAGGTAGGCCCAGACTACCACGAGGTTAACAAAAGAACTCACAAACAAACTTCTGGATGAGGCACAGCAACACCCAGCATGCATTGTAAAAGCAAGAGCTTCACACAGCAATTACTCTAACAGACCTCATTACACAGCAAGTTGTTCTCTAAGGGTCCTTCATAATGCAGAATATTTGTACGCAGCATTCTTGATCAGAATGTGAAGGAACAGTGTAGAAATGTAGAATGAGATGTGTTGTACTCTGGTGCCTTGTGTCTGTCTCATAAAAAAATAGAAAGAATGAAACATGAAGAAGAGAACCACAATAATGGTTCAATAATTGGGTTCAATAATTGTACTGAAGCTTCCAATTAAATAATATGCAATTGGGTCTACAATATGGTCTCTTCAGCAGATTAGTGTTAGTTAGCAATGCCTAAAGGAAAGATTATACTGAATGACCATGTACAGTGTTTCTAAATGCTACCTGAACTCAGCAATGAGAACACTTGTCAAGCAAGAAAAGAAGGCCAAACAGCAGATGTAAGACTTTCTTTTAAGCATCTCACTTGTAATCAGTATTCATTAGTTAAAAAAAAAAAAAAAAATCATTAATGCTTTGGTACACACAGAACTTTGTAACTTTTTCCATTCTTGAACCATTCCAAGAACTTCACTAATAAAATGGTAGGATAAACGCACCTTGAACTAGAAGTTGATTTAGTGCAGTGCTTTCTGTTCCTATTGTAAGGTCACAATTGGGTTTTATTAGAGACTAAGAATAAAGCTACTGGCATACTGTCGTTGTTCTGTTCCTATTTAAACTTTTCAAGAAAAAATAAAAATTAGCATTTAAAATGCTGAGAAGAGTAAATTAGTAGGCACTAGAGATATTCACCCATCAGGACTCCAGACAGGTCAAGCCCTTCAGCTGTACTAGTTTACTCTAGATTACACTGGTAAGTGCATTACTGATGTATCATGCAGTCGGGATTTTTTCAGACAAGTTTATTGATGTCAGCAGCTGACTGGTGTGCAGTAAAATTGGATTCTAAGGATGGAGCACTGAATCATTAGCAGCAGAATATTGGATCAATCCTAAAATCATTCCAGAAGAAATCTCCGTGCAACACATCAGTACAACCCCATAGAAAGAGACGATTACACACCATTGCTGAATCTTCCCCTGACTTAAGGAGCTTTGAATTTGCTTTTTCTTTTAAGAATGTGCTGATTTAAGTCAGGCTTGAAGTTTCTACTGCATCCTTATGTTATTCCACTGATTTAAAATACAGGAATAACACTAAATAGCATTCTCTTATTTTCTATACTAGAAGTCTTTTGCTCTATAATAGAAAGGTGAAGCTATAGTTTATAGCTATTTGTAGCAGTAAATAAAAACCTCTTACCAGTCTTCCCAAAACAGGAGTCTGGAGGATTAAGATCAATCAGACCATTGGTCTCAGTAACAGCACCACCCCGAGCTGTTCAAGGTCTACAAAGTAGACAAAAGAGGAGAAGACAACAAAGCTGACTTTTCCTAATTCTCAAGAGAATGAATAAATTGAAAGAGAGCTTTTGCTAGAGAAATGCGAGTCAGTAGTTGGGTGACTCTCAGCACAAAAATAACTGTCAGTCTCTTAGGTAGAAGTGTGCACAGTGTGCATCTAGCTACTGACATGTATTGCACTCCTGGACGTAAAGTCATGGAAACAGTTATCCTCCTAGGAAGTTTAACATTGATTATTTCACTTAGTGAAATGTAACTGTGATTTCCTGCCTGCTGTTCAGTCAGTATAATACTCTTAGTCTTAATGTTGGATTTTTAAAATAACTTTTCAACAGAAATATTATATGTAACTGAAGTGCATGCAGCAGAAGGAAGACAAGTTTTATACAATGCATTCTGCATGCATTAATCACTTCTCGAAAAATGTATTGTTAACTCCTTAATTTAGAAGTTAAGCAAGACAAGTGGAAAGGAAGACTTCTTAGAGGATGTAGTACATATTCTTTTTGGTAAACGTCAGTGGTCTGAACGTTTCACATTTTTGTCCAATCCTCTGATTCTCCAGTATCTATAGATACTTTAAGTTTTCAGATTTTGATGATGATTGTTTTATTTCTACTGATATACCAGACATAATTTGTTTATTTCTAAACATCAAACATTTCAGTGCATTTTCTGTTAGTAACGAATTTAAAAAAATAAAAAGGCAAAGTCTTCCACTAGGAATCACAATTGTCTAAGCTTCAGATCAGGATGCGATGAAGAGGCACTCTTTCATACATTGTTGTAAAAATAAAATAGTTGTCCCACTTTTCCAGTACTCTACCATGGCCATCTTCATATTCACTGCTAGTGAACTGAAAAGGCCTTGAAATGGGTTCTACTTGTCCTTGACTGTGCAGATGAGTTATTTGTTCTTATCTAAACATCACCCATTGCTTTCCCTAGCTTTACAGCTATATTGAATCATCTCCTATTCCATGCTTTCATCAACATTAAAGAAATTTACTTACAAACTTACTTGTAGCAATGCTTGGATTTGCAAAGGTTACAAAGACAACTGTGCCATCTATTTGGTACTCCTAAAAAAAAAAAAAAAATTATGGCAGGGAGGGATGCTAAGGATCTTTTTTTTTTTTTTTTTTTTTTTTTTGCTTTGACATACCTTTATTAACTTCACCAATTTGAAAGGAAGAAAAAAAACATCAGGCCTTTTCACCAAAAGGTCAGGAGCAGTATTTTTCTCTTATCCTTTATAACAGATCTGCAACTTTGTTCTTTAACCATACCTCTCTAAAAGAAATGTTGCAACAATCAAGATAAGTTCTCAAAAAAAGAAAAGAAATGAATGGGTATAGTCAGAAGAGAATCATTTAATCACTTCATTCCCGAGGTAAAAGTTACCTCCCTGCGGGACATCCTTTCACCTATTTTTTCCACTTCATATAGAACTTTTTAAACATGAAACTCTAGGTTGAAATCCTGTATGTCCTACTTTTCTTTCCCATAGTTTTGGAGTAGTTTCTGTCTCTATCCTATACAGTTTTTCCTAGTTGGGTAATGGGCCTGGTCAGAAAATTACCCCAAATGGTTAATGAACACTGGAGGTATAGCATGTGTTTAATATTCTCAACATGCAGCTAGCAGAGAAATAAGAAAAGAAAACCATTTTTCTTCTCTTATGCAGAAGGAAGAAAAAAACTTTTATCACTGAGACTGAAAGACTGAAATCTGTTTTGTCTAGAGAAGGGAGAATAGAGAGGAAACATCACAGTGGTCTTCAAAAACAATAAAGGATTCTGCCAAGACAAAAGGAATCCTTGATACCATGACCTTTGTGTAATGAGCAAAAGAAAATATATTAAATTACACAAAGTGAAAATTTGGGTTAGAAACCAGACCAGACTTTTCAACAGCAAGGATAACTGAGCACTGAAGGAGACTATGAAATATTCATCAGAGAAGGTTTTAAACAAAGGACTAGATAATAATCAGCCTGGAGTGGTAGGGCTACATATGATGCACAGTGATAGACTAAATGGTCTCTTAGAGTCTCTTCCACTTTTTAATGACTTTGTGATTCTATATGCCCCGGATAATTTCCTGGAAGGGAAACAAAAAACCCAAATAATGTAATCTATAACCTATTTAAAAAAACATATACTGCATTTTTTATTTTTTTTTTACTCCTGATCAATGGCACAAGTGGGAAACCCCAGTATGTGCTTTGTACTTGGAGGTAAATATTGTAGAATTACAAGTACCTTTCCTCCTGTCACTCACCTGCATTTTTTTATGTGAAAACTTCTCTATGTTTTCCAGAATATCTTTTGTCTCCACATGGTCCAGTTCTGTCCTTGGTATGGAACACAAGGTAAGCAATAGCAACAGAGTGATCAACAATGTAGCTGTTTTATTAATGAGTATGTGAATGATTTACATTCTCATTATGCATTTGCTCTTATTACTGCTTAGTCTTAGTGACATCAGAAGATAAAGGACAGCACTTTTCTATGACAAAATAAGAAAAGAATTTCCTTGAAACAGAAAAGATCTTGATTTCATGTTGGGTTGCTGCTTTCTAAAGGAATCCTTATATTACAAGTTACATAATTAGCACTAGGAGCAAAAAACAGCGGGCTAAAAAAGCACTCTCAAAGAGAGCTCTATAGCTTCTGTACATTGAATTTGCAGAAAGAGTTCAGAGAGAAATAAATAAATAGGCAGAAATATATTTAGAGAGAACACAAACTAGTAGTTTGTGTTATTACAGTCACAGCTCTTGAGAACTGCAGAGCACAGCTCTAATATCTTATTTTTTTCCTCCTTGGCCAGAGTTGCTTGCAAACCAAAAAGTCGGCATTCAGAAACCAAGTCTCCTGCATGTTCTCTTTGCTGAACACACATCTGTTTGTGCTCTTGCATCACTGATGGACACTTGACTGGCATTCACATAGACAGGAAAACACAAATGGCCACTTCAGATTTGGCACAAAGAGATTATTTGTGATAAAGGTGGTATTGTTTTACCCAACTGTAGAAAGCTGGATATCACTGAGAGACAGTCTCAGAACACGTGTTACTGAGAGGCAGATGTATTTAGGCACAGTTGCTCAAGTTCTGGTTAAAATCTTAAGTTGCTTTGTGCAGACCATTTATGAACTTGCCACGAGGAAACCTGTATGTAGTTTCACAGAGGTTCTCAGGTCTGTGAAAACAAAGTTGTTTGGTTTTTTTAAATACTACTTTTCTTTTAAACTTCAGAAACACTATCTTAGAACAATATGAGCACCACTATGTCAGCCAACATGTGTGCCATAGTAATATCTTGGTGACTGGCAACCTGTTGAAAATGACAACCTGACAGATGGCAGGACAAACCCTTCCACTGTAGTTCTTTATGGCATCACAAGTTCCACATCTGACACCAGAAAATGTTCAACTCATATACAAAAAAACCCACATGCTCTATGAAGCTTTCAGTCTCCAAAAGGTATGACAAAGGTCTCAGCTATTTGAAAAAAAATGATGCACCCTTCAAGTATTTAACAAAACTTCTCCAATATGATATACTTTACACGGTATATTTCTATCTTAAGAACTAGACAGAAACAAAGTCAAAGGATGTTAAGAAAGAAAACATATTTCAAGGAGAAATTATCAAAAAAATTCTTTCTGTACAACTGCCTGGAAACAGCAGCTTATTAGTATGTAAGACTACAAGAGATAAAGGTTTCTCACAGAAAGGCCACCTTTACTTTCTTTCTTCATATTTTCTTTTTTATTTTCAGTCCACACTACTTTCCTGCAGAATTGACTAGCATCATCTTCTCAGCTGTCTGACACTTTGTCAGGAATGCTTCCCATCTGTAGATAAGTTTGCAAGCCAGCAAATTCCATTTTTCATTAGAGCAAAGAACAACTTTCCTGCAACAAAGCAAAGGTCTATCTAGCCCAGCATGTTGTCTTCACAGTCATAGAATGGCCTGGGTTCAAAAGGATCTTCTAGTTTCAATCCCCCTGCTATGTGCAGTCACCAACCACTAGATCAGACTGCCCAGAGCCACATCCAGTCTGGCCTTGAACGCCTCCAGGGTCAGGGTATCCACAATCTCTCTGGGCAAACTGTTCCAGCACATCACCGTCCTGAGTGAAAATCTTCCTCTTTTTATCTAACCAAATCTCCCACCTTAGTTTAAAACCTTCCCTCCTTACCCTATTGCTATCAACCCACATAAGCAGTTGTTCCCCCTCTGATTTATATTCTCCCTTAAAGTACTGGAAGGCCATAATGAGGTCTCCTGAAATCCTTCTCCATAGGGCTACTCTCAAGGAAATCTTTCCCCAGTCTGTGTAAATATCTGGGATTGCCTCAAGTCTTTCACTTGGCCCTGCTGAACCTCATTAAGTTCACATGGGTCCACCTCTCCAGCCTGTCCAGGTCCCTTTGGATGGCTTCCCTTCCCCCCGTTGTATCAGCTGCACTGCTCAGCTAAGTGCCACCTGCCAACTTTCTGAGGGGACACCCAATTCCATCATCTGTCACTGATAAACATGCTGAAGAGAACCCAGTAGGGCAGGTACTGCATATGAGAAAGCGGAAGAACAGCAGGATATTTTTTTACTATTTCCACAACAGAAAAAACAGTACTTTGTACTTGCATTAAAGAGACTCATTTGGATACTTCCTCCATCACACGGTTCAGTTGCTTTTGGAAACCTATACACAGACTACAAGACAAAGCACAGCTCGTAAGCCCTTGTCATCTCACTGAATAGGTCCCTTATGGAGAATATCCCTCATTTAACTCCATCTCCCCTTTCCTGAGATTCTCTGTGCTAGGTCTTGAAGTTTTCCAGACTTTCCCTGTTCCCTCTATACCTGTATGCATAACAAGTTTCATACAGTTTTTGAGCATATATAAATCCACTAAAAAGCATTACTTGGCTACAGGATGGCTGAAGAGGACAAAGGCTATAGAGTATGAACAGCCAGAATTTCCAAAAAGCAGTTTATGAAGAAAAAAGTTGGATTGGAGAACAAAATCCTTTGTGAAAGGACTAATTCCTATGTACAGAAATAGAACAGGGGGATTTGACTACCTCAGCAGCCCATGAGAGACATCTTAACTTGAGCTACTAGGAAGGCGGCTTTCAAAGGGAATTTAGCATTGTGTGCCATCTGTTTTGGAATTGGAAACAGCTGAAAAGATGAAAATAACTGTCCCTTATTCTTCATTAGAACAGTTGACACATCTTCAAAACTACAAGAAAAGGCCTTCATTTAGCATAAGAGGTTGTCTGTATGTAAGAAGTTATATGATTCTTAGTATTCTCTTACCATAGGTCAGTGAATCAGTTAAGAGATGACTCTTTCCATCCGTTTCTATCTTCTAAAGTCACTTGTTTATGGATTCACACCTTGCCTAAATTGAAATCAGCAGGAACTTCTACTCCTAGACATATTCTGGCTGTGTTAGTTGCCAACAGCAATTACAGAAACTCATGGGGAACATTGGCTGCAAGTTACTGAAACAGATGTCAGTTGTAGCAACACAGGCATGAGACTGAATATCTGAACACAAGGAGCCCTACACGCCATACGTAGTTACAACAGCTGAAGCCACAAACTAGACCAACAGCTAAAAATCACACTTTGTAACCATCATTCATATTCAGAACACTCCCTACTTTTATTTGCCTTGTGGAATTGTATGTCTCAGTACGAAAATGAATTTTTATTTCCTCTGCTGGAAACCTTACCAGAAGTAGGTAAAACAGAGAGGTAGATGTGACAATAGGCAATTAGACATACAGGCTCACTCCTGCCACAGGAGGGCAGTCATTTTAGCAACAGAGCTAATAAAATTTTGACATCAGTCATAAAAGCAGTTTTTTACTTTTTGGATCTATTATTTTAAAGCACATGGCAAGAAACATTTCTACAAGTTTTGTATTTTCCTCACTCACAAATATGTACCCTTTTAAATTCAAATATTGGAAAATAGGAAAACATTTTGAAAACTGCTGAATACATTAACCCACAAAGACAAGACTATCTTATTTTAAGATCTGATAGGAACGTACCCCATTTTGCTTCTATTCACAGTTCTACTGCCACAAGCCCAGTCTTCAGGCCTTCTAAGGTAAAAGCACTGACGTGAGAACAGGATCAACATAAAGTATTTTAACACTGTTCTGTATGCAGTAGAAGTCAGGCCTTCTACCTAAAACTCTTCAGATACTTTACAAGTCTGCAGGTCATCCAAACCCTCTGAGTATCTCCTCTGATCCCCTGATGTGCCCCTCAGAGAAAGCTGTGGGAGGTAACACACAGCCTGCTTTCTATATTATCAAAAACATCCTGAAAGAGTGCTAGAGCAACCTGAAGATACTACTCTGGGTATTATCAGACAAGCTGCCAAACATAGGCAAACCTGAAACTTCTGAAGAGTTCAGCATAAAGCATAAGTTCTCCACTAACAAGAAAATCATTGATATCACTGACAAACATAGCATAAACAAAGTGGGCCACTGTCATACACATTGCCTAGCATGATGAAAATAACCTGATTTTAAGGAGGCTGAAATGACAATCAGCATCAGTATGGCAGCTCCAAAAAAACTGGGAGCTGTTTCATGTGGAGTTTGAGAAATTAATTGCTGAAAACTACCTTCAGCAGTTACCTAAGCAGTTCAAACTGACATCAGGAAAGTTCTATCCTTCCTAACAGAGGACCTCAAGCATGGTAAAGCCACATAAAAGCGAAAGAATGAAAGGAATGTGAAATAAAGATGAGCATACTCTTCAAGCATGACACAATGATAATGGAGAGATATACATATATATTCCATACAGCCTTAACCAAAGATTTGTGACATACCATAACTCCCTGTTTGTGCGAGTTGTTTGGATGTGACCAAATCATTTTCTTCTCACATCCACAGACAGATCGATCTTTTCTCCAGGGACTGAGTGCTCAGCAAACAGTAGCATTTGCCTGCATCACCTGCTTCTCCTAGCTAGCGACTGTGATTTGACTGCCTACATTGCTAGAAGATACAGATGTTGGAGTGATGGATTATTTCCACAAGCTATGCCTACTGTAGTCACTCCTGACATAGCTTCAAGCCTCTCTGATTGCCCACTAAAAATAATGTTTAAAGTAAAAAGATCGTGTAAACCATACATTTATTACCCTTCCCAAAACTCACTATCCTTAAGGTGAATTAAAACTTGTACTTTTTCATATTCTGTCTTCTGGGACAATGCTATCTGAACTGTTAATATGAATACATGCTATGGGCTTTGATATAAATTGGTTACATTCTATGTATTTTTAGATCTTCAAAAAATAATACATATTTGGAAAGCCTGGCTTTACAAGGACTTTGTTAAAGAAATAAAGGATGCAGTACCAGAGAGTCAGGGTCAATTCTGGCCTCAGGTATTTCCACTTATCTGCTTGCAGATCAGCATCCCTTTAGCTTGAGAGGTAGCAACAGAAACCAGATAAGTCAATCAAATAATATGCTAAAACTGTTCATTATAATAAAATACCCTCTGGAGGGTTTGTCACCCAAATATCCTCTCTTACCCCATAGGCTTGTTCAGCTTGGAAAAGAAGGCTGCAGGAAGAAATCACCACAGCCTTCTAATATTTAGATGTTGCTTATAACCATGAGGGAAATAAACTTTTTACATGGGTAGATATTGATATGACAAGGGTGAATATTATTAAACTAAATGAAGGGAAATTTATAGATTAGATGTCAGAGGAAGTTTCTTACTGAGTGATGAGGTGGTGAAACAGGTTGTCCACAGAGGATGCCCTGTCTCTAGAGGTGTTTAAGGCCAGGTTGGATGGGGCCCGGGCAATCTGATCTAGTACTCATCTAGCAGTTGGCAATCCTACCTGTGACAGGGGCTTAGAACTTGGTGATCCTTGAGGTCCCTTCCTACCCAAGGCATTCTATGATGTTTCATCACATGATCAGTAAAAAACAGACAGGCTACAGTATGTTTATGACATACAAATAAGTTTCTTCAGCACTTTCCTAACATTGCATACATAACAATTTATACCTCTCAAAATTCCAAATAATGCAAACCAACTCATGAGAGCAATCGTACCTTTTAGACATTACAATCTGATGGATGTTTTGACTGGCTTCAGGTTGGGAATAAGAAGAATAGAATCTACCCCAGGCACATGGCTGAATTTCCAAAGGAGACATCCTGATCCTCATACTAGAATAAGTAGCCCGGGGGGGAGGGAAGATTATGCATTTAAATAAAAAAGTTCACAGTCAGGGCTCAGCTATAGACTGCTGTTTTGTCTCTAGAATTGAAGAAGTAGGCATGTACACAACCACAGATGTATGTAAACATACAGTCAGCAGAAAACAGCTCAGCCTCAGGGGACAAACAGTCCCCAGTGTCTGGAGAAATTAAAAAAGAATTCTTCTGGGAGAAGAATTTGCTTAAGTTTCCTCTGTTTTCACAGTTTATCTTTAACATCCCCAGGTGGAATAAAAGCCCTTATCTTCTCTTTCAGGAAAATATTGACCTAGGTAGTTCAGAAACTGCAGGAAAATCGTTTTCTAAGGTACACTTGACAATGGGTTGTAAATCTAGGTGCTGCTGAGTGGATTCAGAAAGCTTCTGGTTAGGATTATGTTGCAGTAAATACCAAGTTAATTCAGATAAACGCCCACCAGTAGTTTGCTGCAAACTAGGTGCAAACATACATCCATGCTACTGCTTCAGTCTGACCTGACTGAATGATCAATGCCACAAAGGATAACATTAGAATTAAAAAAAATAAAAATAAAAATACTACACATTGGAAGAAATTAGCTAGATATGTCATATACGGATTTCATTTTTCCATTCGATAATATCTTGCTTTATAACTATTTAGGTTTTATAATATAGCGTTTTACAAATACCATTGAGTTTTTCTGTTATTTGTTTTTGAGTGGAGTAGGTGTCTGGTGATTACTGCTCTATACCAATTGCTTAAGGAAAAAAAAAAAAGTAGCACATAAAAACTTTTAAGAACAGCGGATGTTTAACATTGAGTATTTCAGGAACTAATTATCTATGGCTCTGAATGCAGAGTTAAAAAGGCCATTAAAAAAAAAAAAACAGCTGGGAAGGTCCCAGCGATTTGGAGAGCGGAGCAGCCTCGGCTGCTCCGTGTGACCATGGCGCCCCCTGCCGGAAGTGAAAAGCACAGCACCTCCAGCTCAGCAGCAGCCTTCTGACGATTACAGCATCTTCGGAAAAAAAATATTAAAAAACCACACAGAACTACCAAAAAAACTAGAAAAAAAAAAAAATCCAAGGATAACATTAGAAAGGATTATTAATGAGGACAAACTGTAATAAACCTGAACTACGTTTCTTTAAGCTGTTCTAAAATTTTAGTTAAAGAAAGTTAACAAAAAAGAAAGACAAATATAAATACATATAAAGGAAAAAAGGGGAGCATAACATTCTTGTCTCTACAAGCATTGATCAAAGACACTGAAGCATTATTTTCTAGCTTTCTTCTATTATATGCCAGAAAACACACATGGTGTTTTAAATTGTTATTTGTTTTCTATGCCAGCAGTATTAAGTGCTTCCACTAGCACTTGGGACTCACATGTCTCTTAATACTTATAAGTGACATTTCTGCAGAAATGTTCTCAAATCAACTGAGCTGACTCACACAGGACCACCTATGCATACCAGCTAGTAAAAAAAGTTCTCTAGCAAAAGTACTCTAGCCCATTTCACACATGCACAACTAGAAGAGAATGCAGAATTAACTATAGCCTTAAAACACAATAAAAAGCGCAGCAATAACAGCAGAGCAGCAAGATCCTAGGCCATAGCAAGCAACAATTTGCTGAAGGGATGTGATTGTCCTAGGAGAACAGGAAATTGTTTGCGCCTGCGCTCCTCACATGACTAGAAGGGGTGGTCTCAGGGTGAAGCCACCCTGGGCTTATATAAGAGCCAGCTACAACCAGCAGAGCATCTCCTGGATCTGGGCTCCTTTTTGTAAAGGAGTGCTGTCTATAGCTAGGTGATGTCCTCCATCAGCTGGGTAAGTTCAGCTCTTCTTTCTGTATGTAACTGTGGGCCTGTCTGCAAATACTTTATCTAGCATCACTAAAGATCTGTCAGAAGTAATTCTGCTTCCTTGCGAGCAGAATGCCTGTGGTATAGTGGCACAGTCAGCTATAGAATCATGCAGTTATGCCTATGTGGCAGCTGATACTTCTAACAATAAGTTAGACCTGATGACTTTCAAGGTGAGGCTGGATGAGGCTCTGGGCAACCTGATCTAGTTGTGGTGTCCCTGTTCATTGCAGGGGAGTTGGGCTAGATGGCTTTCAGAGGTCCCTTCCAGCTGTAGGGGTTCTATGATTCTAAATGGTTAAGAGCAAGTGCCACTCTTCATAATCTAGTGAACTTTTGAGAAAAGTGTTATAGGAAGAAAAGGTGTGAAAGAAATCAGGTCAGTAACAAGTAATGATATTTTAAAGTTAAACTTCAAAAATCTGTATTTTATTTCATTTTAAATTACAGATTTCATCTATCCTTTTGTCTCTATGTGTATCTGCAAGATCCAAAGACTACACTAAGGCTTATTTCTGTTGTAAGGTGGCAAATACATCTTCTAAGCTTTGAGCAAGTTGTTACTCATTCTTTCTATGTACTTTCATGCAAGTAGTTCTAGTGAAATGACCAGCAGACATGCTGCTCTCATACACGTGGGTTGTGATTTCAAGTTTCTCCCTACTTCCATCAACTCCCCCCACTTTAATCACGGGGGTTTATGGGCGCTCTAAGGAGAGGCCTCACCCCAAGGCTCCACCGCAACTTAGGAGGAAACGCTGAGCCTCCTACAGCAATCCGTGCGCCCTCCAAGCGCCGAACAGAGCCCCGCACCTACGGGAAGCCCTCCACGTTCCCCTACGGCACCCTCCAGAGGCCGCTGCCCCCCGCGCATGCGCGGAGCCGCCCGCAGCACGGCGACGTCCGCTCCTCGCCAGGTGCTTCCGGATCGCGTCCGTGCGGGGCGGCGGCTCGGCGGCTGCTACGGGCGCTCGGCGGTGCTAAGGGGTCTGCCGGGGGTGAGCGGTTCGGCGGTGGGGTGGGCCCCGGGGCGTGGCGGTACCCGCAGGCCCCACGGGGAGGGGGAGGCCGCGGGGCCCGCGCCGGGTCTGCGGAGTGGGGCGGTTCGCCTTTGGCTTCTTCCTGTCTCCAAGTGCGGCCACCGCAGCCTGGAGAAAGCACCGTCGCCCGTCCTCGGGTCGCTCGTCAGTCCCTTAGCATCGCGGTGCCTTCTGGGTACGCACGGGGATGTAGCGCGGTCTGGCTGAAGTGCGTCCGCCTCGCCGGCAGCTCGTTATCTTTCTCTGCCAAACAGAGCCGTGGCGAACTGTTTTGTTTGAATGCGGGCGGCTGCCACGTGTTGTATCCGCCAACCCTACACGCTTTAGGTATTCTGTTAGTATAGCTGTACTTAAAGCCTCTAAAGAATTAATTACTCCAGTTTGCTTCATGTTGGGTTGTAAAGAAAAGTCTTACCTCACTTATGTATTTCCATGACATGTTGAGATTTTAAGTCTGCAACACGTGTATTTTTTGTTTCTGAAGTTAATAGCCTTCCTGAAGTATTCTTAGAATAGAAGCAAAAGGAACTTTGTTTATTTCCAGTTTTCTGAATATGGGAGCGTGGGGTTATTCTGGGTCTTAGTTTTGAAATCTTTGACACTCAGCTGGCTGCAGAAAACAAGATCTAATCTCAGTGTTTATTCTGCTTGAAGGACAAAGCGAACATACTTCTCATTTCTAACAATTACTAATTGGGAAGACTGATGTTCAAGATAGCTCACTTCCATTTTGTCTGAGCTTTATGGGTTTCATATTAAATTAATAATTAAAATGAGAGTTTTAGTAAGTATTTTAACAGGAATGTATCATGTGGATTCTGTGACTTGTTTCTTGATTGTCTGACAGTCCAGTTTGAAATAGAACTGCAAAATTGCAGCATGTTTATGCAATGAAAATAACTCCTATACTGATTAAGTATATTACTAAATAATAAAAGGTGAACCTTACTGCTTTGAGTTTTACAGCTATTGATGTGATACTTACATTAAAAAAAAATTGTTTTCTCCAGGTTTATTTTATTGTACAAGCTCTTTGCTGCCATAATGAGGCTTGTCATTCTTGAAGACTATGATCAGGCAAGTGAATGGGCAGCCAAATACATCTGCAATCGTATTATCCAGTTCAAGCCCACTCAAGGGAGGTACTTCACACTTGGCCTACCGACAGGCAAGTTTTATTCAACACCTAATAAGTGACTAAACCTAAACTGTGTTTACATCATTGCTAAAAAATGCCATATTTAAAATACTGCATTTGCTGAATATACTTCTGGTAATGCTTGTATTTCTCTTGTAGCCTGAAGATGTTAATCTGCTTTGAAAAGATTTGACAAACTGGAAAGTAGATGGGGAAATAACAAATTTCTTTTAATTATATTGAAAAGCATTTTAGTAACATCTGCTTATAAAGAGATTTAAATATACTGAAAATGTGTGTGGATATATAGTATAGTAGAAAAACTTTGTTTAACAGGAAGTACACCTTTGGGATGCTACAAAAAGCTGATAGAATATCACAAGAATGGAGATCTCTCTTTCAAATATGTGAAGACTTTCAACATGGATGAATACGTAGGTAAGCTTTAGTGCTTTTTTTTTTTTTTTTTGAGAATGCAGCATATACTTACTTTTTTTTTTTTCCCCTTATTAACTGTTAAAGTGTTTTAACGAAGCACAAGATTACTAGAAATTCTTGAGATTCTGTTAGACTAATGTACCTGGAAGTGTCTTAAGCACATGTTTCTTTCTAGCCATTAGAATGCGAGTAATTAATTAGAGAGAATCCTTGGCTAAATTAAGTGCTTGAAAACTGTTATGTAGCATTTTGACTACATTTGTTAAAGACTTTTCATATATTTGTAGTGATATTTTGTATCACTAAGAGTATATAGTGAATGTAAACATGTATGGCAACAGAAATCTTCTCAGTATGAGTACTGCTTTGTCTGACTTCATACTACTCAAGAAAGATTTGTCTTAGATTTAAAGCTGAATAAGTCTTTTAATATGTGAATTTGCATCTTAAATGATTTCAGGACTTCCCAGGAATCATCCAGAGAGTTATCATTCATATATGTGGAATAACTTCTTTAAACATATTGACATAGATCCAAATAATGCTCATATTCTTGATGGGAACGCTCCAGACTTACAGGTGGAATGTGATGCATTTGAAAAGAAAATTGAAGAAGCAGGAGGGATTGATCTGTTTGTTGGAGGTATGAGAAAATGCTTTATGGTTAGTTATGATTGAAATAATATAATGACTCTTCAGAACATAGTTAAAATCACTTTTTTCTGTTATAGTCTAAGAAAGTTCTGTGGCTAACAAAGAATTGGTGCAAATACCAGAACAGAATGCGTGGTGTCCAAATTTCTAATGATAATGTAGTTTAAGTTTTGAATGCTTTTTTTTTTTGTTTGTTTGCGTGTTAAAATGGGGAACCAAGACAAAAGAATGAATCATAAATTTTTCTTTTTATTCTTTTGCAATGTTTGAGGATATTTGTTGACTCGCAGGTCTGGAATGATTTGCTTTCTTTAACTTTGAAAAGGCATTGGTCCAGATGGCCACATTGCATTCAATGAACCCGGATCAAGTTTGTCTTCAAGAACAAGATTAAAGACTTTAGCAATGGACACCATTTTGGCAAATGCTAAATACTTTGATGGAGACTTATCTAAAGTACCAACTATGGCGCTAACGGTTGGTGTGGGTACAGTGATGGATGCTAGAGAAGTAAGAACTTATTTAGTTCTAGTTGCATGTATCTGTTTTCAAGACTAGTTTGTGGTGTTATGGGGACTGAAGGTAAAAAGGCTTCTGTTTTGCAGGTGATGATTCTTATAACAGGTGCACATAAAGCTTTTGCATTATACAAAGCTATTGAAGAAGGTGTCAATCATATGTGGACAGTTTCTGCTTTCCAGCAGCACCCTCGTACTATCTTCGTGTGTGATGAAGATGCTACTTTAGAACTAAGAGTTAAAACTGTGAAGTACTTCAAAGGTGAGCACTGAATCAGAAGTTACCTCTATTTAAAAATAACAATTATATGAAGTCTCCTGGCACATCATATAGCTAACATATATTCAGGATACTAAATGTTAACTTCTACATTGTGAGTGGGAAAGTGCTGGGAGATGTAACTTGTGTTCCTTGCGTACGAAAATACAGTGTCATTTGATAAATACTTTATTCAAAAGAGATTTTTTTTCAAGTATTTCCTCTATTTCCCATTTGAAATGATAGTATATAAACTTGCAATTATAACAAATTTTACTTCAACCCTGATATATTTCATGCTGATTTTATCTTATAGTATACTGTCAGTAAGCTTCAACTATGTGAGGCAGACTTGGATGTGAACGGAGAACACTCTTCATAAAGTGCAATGGCAATCTGTTTAGACTTTAATACATTGCACAAACTATGCTTTTCAGATTTGTAGTAGGTGTATTGAGGCAAGCTTCGAGTTTGGATTTCTTATAGTAACTTAGTGTTTCTGGATGTTAATTATATTTAACTAAGACTGTAGAAGCTCAGCAAAATAGTTTTCTCCCAGCTGTATTAGCACAGAATATGTGGTTGTATTTATTAGCCACCTTTCTTACTGTGTGAATTTTTGTAGTAGTTGAGGCATGTAGCAGCAAGGCTGTCATTAGTGATATAATGCTCTAAAAATAGTCTGTAGATAATAGTAAAGTCTGGTGTTAATGTGACTTTATACTGATTTCATTTATAATTCTCACTTTAGATTTTTTCAGTATGTTCTTTGGTACATATCAGGGAGAGGGGGCATTCTTCACACATCACACTGCTAGATAGTACTTAGTATTATCAAAGATAAACCTCTTAAACTGCTTGGATGGGTGCTAAACACTATCCTGTATCCAAATAAACAAAAGCTCTGCTTAGAGAGTATACAAACTACTCTAATAAAATTATTAGGTATGAATGACACTGATAGTGAACAATCTCCACAGAAAACTAAGGGCTACAGTGTATGAATACTTACTATTTCACCTATTTAATTACCCTATAATGCATACAAAGCAATAGAATTCTCAGATTGTTTTGCCTGGCGTAATTTTCCCCATTCATGTGTTAGGGAAGTTTACTTGGTTGTTTTTCTTTTTTTTAGATGGAGAAATCAGTATTAGTAAAACCTGGGATTATTTCTGAATCTTGATCTCCAGGTTGGATGACTTAGTTCTTAGGAAGCTGGATGGTTCTTGATGACTGCTAATTCTGGTAGCTAGTTACTACAGCTTTTTACCATTTAAGGAAAATCTCAAGGTATCACATGAAACTTCAAGCAGTTTTTGATAACAAATTGCCACTCTATCAGAAAGTTAGAATAACTTTTACCCCCCCCCCCTTTTTTTTTTTTCTAACTTTCTGAAACAAATAAGAGAAATGATCCTCTAAGTGTTCTTTTTTGCAAAATGGGAGGAAGGTCACCTTTTCCTTTCATTCCTTTATCACAGAAGAGGGCAGAAAAATATTTTCGAATTTACTAGTCTCCAGGAAAGTTAATCTGGGAGTTCTTTTTTACTTCTGCATGCTCTTGTTTAAAACATTTATTTAACCTGAGTAGGCTGGAAGATTTTTATGTGAAATAATTGCTTTTGCAGTTATTTCTATCTAGTAAGAGACTTTGCATGTCATCATTTAAATAAGCTTTGTTTCTAACTGTACTTTCAAAACCACTAAAAGGATTTAAATATAACTTTTTCCATATGGCAGTGAGAATACTCTGTAAGCATTTTCACGCCTCCAGGAAGTAAGTGGGTAATTCTCCTTTTCATTTCCTGTTTTTCTAAAACAGAACAGAAAAACAGGAAATGGAATGCTTAAACTTCAGTAAATGGTGTAGCTGTTTTTCTTTGAATAAAAATGCCTTTTGTATCAAATCCACATTTGGTGTTTTCCTGCGTACTGCCAAACTCATGAGAAACATTACTGACTCTATCTTTCCAATATACATGATCAATAGTTGTCCTTTAAGATCTAAGAAACTTTTCTTTTGTGCTTTAGTCATGTTGATTTCATAAGTTTTTCTTCTCCTGGTTGGATTTTTTAAAAATTTATTTACAAAGGTCTGCAGTTCAGTCATTACCTCCAGAAACAAAAACAAGCTGGGTTCTTCAGTCTGTTCTTGATGCTTTGGCTTCTGGTATGGCTGTAAGGTCCACCTAGTGGAGAAAAGAATAGCAAACTTGTAAAATACATCAGAAATGAAAATAAAAATAGATTTAATGATTCAGACTTTGAGGTTAGTTTGCCTGCAGGGATGCAATGTTTGGTGCCAGATACATAATGCAGCAAGGATATTAATATTCTTTGCTGCAGTATACTATTGAAATGTGCACTTACTGTCAGATATCTTTTATGGCTTTTGAGAATCTCTGCTTTTAACGTTGCCTAGTAGTTGAAGCAAATCTTCTGTAGGGTTCTAAACTAGGCTCTTTACAGATTGAGAACGTTGACCAGCTACTGTTACCAGTTTGTAAGGTTAAAAAAATGTACCAGTGACTGGATACCATACTTTGGTAACACTTTTTAGGTAACACTTTTACTAAGTTGTAACAAAGTAAACAACATGACTTTTTTTTTTTTAATCTTCCCAGCACTTTCCAGAGTTTTCCACAGGAGAATGGGGGGGAGGTTCTATGTAGTCATTAACAGTCTCTGTGCTGCTTGGTTTTGCTTGTCTAGGACCTGAAGGATGCTTAGTTACAAAGATACCACTGTGCTAGAACATTATAACTCAAGCTGTAAAATTATTAGTATGTGTAAATCTAATTGTTACAACAAATTCTTGTATGTGTTGCTGTTAAGCATTTATTAAAAAAGAGAGATGTGTATCTCTCATGAGGTGTTTAATTGATGTGGAATATTTTCATATCTTTTTAACTGGTCTGTTGTCATTGCTGTCTCATTTCTGTTTAGTTTATATGAAGATGGCAATAATATTTAAGTGATACAGGGAAAAATACATAACTAGCATATATATAGTTTTAATTACTTTTGATTTATTTTTTTTTTAAACTACTTTGAATAGCCATAATCTATCTTTTCAGTGAACTGTATAAAATGTGTACTTTGAAGTTAGCTCCAAATGTGTGGATAGAAGGACATGTTGGAAAAAGTATATTAAAAATGATGTAAAGCTGGCATTGTTGCTTTCCCCTCAAGGTTTAATGCATGTGCACAATAAACTCGTGGACCCTCTGTACAGTATGAAAGAAAACTGAAAGAAGAATTGAAGAAGAACTGCATGTGGGTCAACAGCAACAGTTTTAGGTAGCAGATGAGTTCACTGCTATGCAATATACTGAAAACTGTTTAAAATGGGAATCCTAGGTACTGTATTTTTTTTTTTTTAAAAGGTCCAATATATGTACATTCACATTCCATCTCTATTTGGTGTTGTGCATTTTGCCTTGATATTTATAACTCTGGCTGTTACAGTAACTAAATGGAACAGAACAAATCTGTGGAAGACTGCATGTTATGTAGGGGTGGAGGGGGGTGGGACAGAGCACTTATTTTAGCACAGCAATGCATTGCATCTGCCTGTTAGAGGAAGTGATAGTTTATTTTCAATAATCTGTAATTGTGGCCTCCATTAGTGCAACTACACTTTGCATTTGTATTCCTAGGCAGAATGGTTTTGGCCTTTGTTAAATACTATGGATTTTTGCTGTGCAATTTTTACTATGAAATGTTCTGTTTACATAATGCACACTAAGCTTTTGCACTTGATTGCCTTAAATTTAATCTTATACAAACAGTTTTTGGGCATCTTGAGTCCTGCTGTACAATTCAGGCAAATAAAAATATGAAAAACAGTGCCTAAAACTGCACCCGATTCTTAAAGTGTTATAACTTATTCTGGTTACTTACATTAAATGTTTGCCATAGCACTTTTTCTTCTCATGTGTTTCAAATTACTTTAGGGTTTTTATATTTTTAGTAATTGTGCTTTATATAGAAGGAAAGATCTAAATGTTCCTTTCTGTATGTACCTGTTTAATTGTATTGGATGGTGTCATTAAATGCCTAGAATGAGGTTAACTTACAGGAACACGGACTCTACAAATTCAAATGGTAGTGTATTAAAGTCTGCTGTTAACCACTCTGTAATAATTACCTCTTACTGTATTGCTATAAATACTGAACTGTCACAAGGAATGTTATTTCCCACTTTGAATAAGTAAAACTTAAATCTAAATCTATCTTTTTCCAAATTGTTTTGTTTCTGAGGTAAAGCGGAGAGATCAAGTATTTTGTCATCTTCATGTAAGGAAGAGACTAAGAACCAATTGTGGTTTTTATAATTTTTGTGATCCACTGACAGAGCCTAATTTGAAGAATTTAAGTTTTTCACTTAAACAATAATTTGTTTTGTTGTGTAGTCTTGTGCTTTAAAAAAAAAAAAAGTAGTTGTCTACAATGTGCTTATGGAAGAATTCTTGTTAGTTTAGAACAGACCTTGAACTATGGTATGTATTTGCTGCCTTAAATGATAAAAACAAATTTTGCCACTATCATAAACTGAAATATTTGTTTAAAGTAGGTATAGACTTAACACAACACAAAGTACAAAATTATCTGTTGGACCATACTGCTAGTTGAATTTCTGATTTTGGTATGGTAACTTCTTGTTTGTAGACATGCAAAACCCAAAGGTAGTTTGCTCTGAGTAGCCTATGCTCTTATCTTTTCAAATAAACATGAGCAGCCAGGTACTACATAATTGTATTCTAGCCTAAGTCTTGGCATGTGAAATCTGAGTAAGATATTCTAGGTCACTTAAGTCAAGTTTTGGTACTTACATCTTAACTTAAAGAGTGTCCTTTTGTGTCACTATTACTATAATAGGATGATAAACTTTACGAAGTTTTATGCATAGATTTTCTAGTTTTTTCTAGCTTTTAGCATGTCACTATACACTGAACTTAAGTAGACCAGTATGGAAGACTTGAATCAATCTTACTTGCTGAGAAATGTGTAGTTTGTTTTTCCTGTTGTGATTCCCCTCAACATCATTATTTCCTGCTGAGAACCTTTAGCAAGTAAAACAGTGTAGCTTGAAACTTTTGTGACTTAAACTAATATAATTTTAAGGATAGACAAACTGTTTTAATAAACTTTTTGACACAGTTGCTGTTCTCCTGCTCTTAACACATTCAAGCTTTTCTATCTAGCTCATGTGAAGTTACAATGAAAGCTTTTAGATGCAAAAAATTCAAATAAAATAGCTTTATTTCCATTATAATGTACAAATAATTTAAATACAAAATCTTTTCAATTTATATTCCCATTTAAAATGATATAAACTAAATCAGATGTTGCCTTTCACAGTGATAAATTATACATTAACACAAGTATGCTTACTGTCTCTAAGAAATTAAGACAATCTGCTCATAATTATAACTTATTTCTCAGGCTGTCTCTTTAAAACACGTATGAAGGCATCTCTTGGTACTTCCACATTGCCAATTTTTCTCATCAGTCTCTTCCCTTCTGCCTGCCTTTTTAAAAGCTTCATTCTTCTTGTAATGTCTCCACCGTACTATGAAAAGGAAAAATATTTTATTAAGCCTACAGTACTTAATAAACACAGGCTTAAATGAGGCTAGTTATATTAGAAAATATCACTCTCTACCATTATCCCAAGAGAGCAGTAGTTGAAAAGAACAGGAGCAATCTACCTTTAGACAACTAAAGGTAGATTAATTCACGTATTTTATATACTAAATATTCTTAGATAAGCCTGGATGACATTAGGATAGCAGGATAGAACTGTAGCATACTATGGGCTATTCAAATCCTTGTGGAACAGCAACAGTGTCAGCTTTGATACACTATAGCATCTTGGCTACCACAAGGTGATTACATCCAAATTCATCAACCCTTACATTGTCTGATGGGATATCATCCAACCTAGGTTCCAATTGGAAGAATTCTTAATAGCTGTGAGAAAAGGATACTTGTTTAATCTCTTCAACTTGTTAAGTTCAGCCATGGCATAATTTTCCTATAGCATTATTCAGCCTTGTTTATCATCAACTATTGATATTTAAGGCCTCCTCTTACTTTCTTACTGAAAACTGAAGTGAAAATCTAATTGCAATCAGTCTATAAAGTGCTTTAACTATACTTAAATAATCTAAGAAAAAAAACTAGGAAATTATGAAGTTACATAAGTGCATGCATATTCTTATTCAAGTATTATGAGATACAAAGTAGACACATGGAAGAAGTCATTACTGTTTCTGATCTACTGCAAGCACCAAGTGAAGGCTGCACAAGCTGAATTTAAAAGAAAAAGTTTAAGAGTGTCTGTTAACATTCCACTGACGTTTTGAAGCACAAGCAAAATATGTCTTCATGGGGTTTCTAAGGAAAGATAGGTGCATCACAGTTATAAGACTCTTAGGTTCACATGCACTGGAATAAAAAATACTTACACATTTTGCCACAACATTTTTCCTGTAAGCTTTCAATCTGTAAAAAAGAATACCATAAATATTAACACAGCGGAGCAACTCCAGTAGTGAAACTAAACAGCAAGTTGTCAAAATGCTGAGCATCATTTTTATGCTACATTTTTAAAAAGCAACAGAATTATGCCATTTTCATATGTAGACAGAAGATAATGCTTTAAACATGTCAAAAACATTTTAAAGATGTTGATTTACTGTTCTTAATTTGAGAAATATGTCTTAAGGCAAGTAATAGACAATACTGTAGCTTTTATGTTTTACCTGCCTGTAATGCTCTATGCTTCATAGATGCTTTTACAACCCACATGCAAACAAATTCCTATCCAATTTTTGCTTGGATAGTCACTTCTGATTACCACAATTTAAATGTAATTTAAAACAGCAACAGCCAAAACATGACATGAAATACAACAACCAAGGAAAAAGTTTGCTTTAAAAGAAGTGTGTGCTGCTAAGAAATAGCTGCACTTGCTCAGCTTGCACATTTCCTTTGCAGTAGCACAGTTCAAATAGTTTCTTTTTTGTTTGTTTGTTTTTGTAGCAGTGATGGATTTTTGTTTTTTGTTTTTTTTTATGACTGCCAAGGAAAGCTACTTCACATCCAGGAAATCATATTCAACAATAAAAAACACCTTTTTCAGTACCAAGCAAGTATGTATCAGTGTGACAAGTTACACACTGCCCAATAAGTGTAATGCTGACCCCAGGCAATTTAAAATAAAAGGATTATTTTCAATTAATTTTTAATAATTAAGTCCTTATTCATGGTCACAGCTTGAAAGCATAGTGTTTGGGTTTTTTTTGTAGACACCTGGGAGTACATACAGAAAAATAGTATTTTATGGTAGATTTGAAGTATTGTAACATGTAGAACCAGGGATGACATTAAAGTTCATATTTAAAATAGCTTAAATAAAGAAGAGGAAAAGAACAGTTTCACTTACGTTTCCCTTGCAATTATTTTGTTGCCAATAGCAGCCTGGATGGCTATTTCAAATAATTGTCTTGGTATTGTATCTTTTAAACGCTCACACAGGAATTTACCAGTAGCATAGGCTTTATCACTGGAAAAGAAAGTTTTGAGAAGTTAATTCTTTCAGAAACAGTCATGCAATCCCAAAATATATCCAAATGTCAGAGGAAAAATATTAAAATTATTTATCTTTTTATATTCTTAAACTTACCAGATGATAACTTTACAACGCGGACTTTAATGACCGGTCTCTGTACATTACTCATTTCACACAAACAAGTGATAAGACTACACTAACAGGAGGTTTTCATAAAAATGTTAAATGATGTTTGTAATAAATATTCTGATAATCTATCACACTGAAGCTTTATTGAAGAATTTCACAGCTTCAAATGCTATTTTTTTTTTTTTTTAAACTAGAAGCTCAAGGGGGCATTTTATTGATTTCAGACATGAAAGGTCAAAGATCTACATATCACTGAAGCATTCTCAAAATATCTTTTTATACAACAATGAAATTCTTTTTTAATCTACTCTAGCAGTCTGTAATAAAAAAAAGTTATTCAATTACATTCAGCATCTGCATATACTGCAGATTTTGGAGAAAAAAGAAGTGACAAAAGGTCAAAAGAAGCTATAAAATTGATACTTTCATAAACCACTGAGAACAAGTGACTCTTTTCTCTAAAATGTTCTCACTTAATGTTAAAGCAATCATTCTACAAGGTTGGCCACTCCATTTTGCATCTTTCCAATTTGCTGAATGTATATTTATTACATTGCTAAACTGCATACTTATTAAAAACACATAAATCAAATATACAGTAGATTTATTCTCCTCTTGCACAGTTATTTTTCTCAAGAAGGTAAGAGTTTCATTTTCCTACTCCAACCTTTAATTCTGAAATTCTGCAGTTTAGTTAAAGTATACATAAATACATTATATAATATACTAATTTATTTATTTTTACAATTACAAGATAGTGTTTGAATAAGGACAAAAAAAAAAAAAATTAATATCAGGATTACTAAAGAGATTGTGAAGTTATTTAATGGAGACTAACACAGACTTCATAAGAAAAAACCAAGGGGAGAGACTGGAAGATAGAAAGGCATTGTTTTCACCAGCAAATGAGTAGTTCCTGAGAAACTCATCTGAAACTGAATCATTTTAGCAAACAGTTTCTGAGACTATTACAGTCAATAAATATTTACATTTTCCTGGTACTCTAGCTAAAGACAAGATAACAGAAAACTTGTACAGAATAGGGATTATTGGAGGTATAAAAATAAAACTTATCCAGTTTTTTAGTAGTATACACAGTAAACAATTCATAGCACATCTCCTGGACTGGTTAGTCCTTAATTTTTTTCCAACACCTTAAAAGGCTGTCAGTTTGCATTTATATGTGCATCTCCTCCTTCCACATTAACACGGGAACATTATATTTAGTACTTAGCTTTCCTACTATAAAATGCCTTTCTCTTTCAGATCTTCTCTGGAAGTTGGTCATTTGGTGAAATCTCAATGCTAATTTCCCCATGCATTCATCATTCATATTTATTCACAATGAAAACATGCTTAAGTTTTAGTCCTTTGGAATAGAGAATCCAGTCAACCTACTTGTGTGTGATAGTTGCCAGTTCTTCAATTGGATTTCCATTTATAAGAATATCCATTTTGATAAGATCTGCTGCCTGGTAACCTGCATCTTCATAATCAAAACTAAACAAAGCAATTTAGAAGTCAGTGACTATGGTATTCTGCATTCACTGTTCCATAAATCTTAAGCTTTGTAAACAATTAACAGAACACTTGAACTTCATATTAAAATAGGAGCACAGTTTTGTAAAATCTCTCAGTATGACACCATTATTCAAAACTGGGCTCAACATTTCTGTAAATTTTGTCTCCAAGTAAGCAGGACACATCATCAGCTGCTGAGCAAGGAAAATCAGATATCCACATATTTACTGCACTCTCTTAAGAAGTTTATTCAAATACTTGTAAGTGCCACTTGGAAGTTCCTCAAAGTTCCCTTTAACAAAGGGATGAGCATCCTGTCAAAAACGTCAAAGGAATGGAAAACTAATACTGCAGCACTATCATAAAGGAATATCCTTTTTTTGTGCCCTTCCATACTTTCTTCTCAGATATTTTTTCATTTCTTCCCCTCATGGGAAGGGGGAATAAGAAGAAAGAAAGAGAGAATGTATTTACCTTGCATAGCCAGAAGACAGAGACTTAAGGGCATCATAAAAATCCACCACGATTTCATTCAATGGAAAAAGGTATTTTAGTATAACCCTATGTTCATCAATAAACAACATTTCTTTCTGGACTGCCCTACGATCCTAGACAAATAAAAATTGTTTCAGTTCCCCTTGAAAAATATTTTCTATAAATAACACACAAAGCAGATCTTACAGTCTTGCTGCAGATTCCTTTCCTTCGAGAAAAGAAATCTAGTTATGAACTCTTCTAGTACACAGTGCTAAAGCAGGTACTTTACTGTCACTGAGCCAGAACACTAACTTTCAGTGCAAGGACTGTGTAGCTCAGGAGTAATTTTGCATTTATTTTAAACACACAATTTGAAATGTTTACTTTCTTTTAAAAATATTAAGAATTATTGTCAACCATCATCTATTATACTATTATCTAGTATCTTCTGAGGTATGATAAGTAGAGTTTAAAAATGCAAGTGACACAAACTAAAACAGCATACCACAGTATACTAACCTGACACAAAACAATTATTTTCCTAATATATTCCTGAGGTGTTACAATAGTGCCAAGAACAGTTGGCTCCAGATATTCAGACACTGAATGTTTATCAGGAAATTGAGCAGGGTTGATAATAGTAATCTCTGAATTACCATACTCCTGAAAAAAAGAAAAAAAAATCCAACATTTTTCCTCTAGTTGCTCTGTAAGCATTTTATCCAATGAATTTCCACCTGTCTCTTGTCTGTTGGGCAAGGATATTCCCTATTACTTTATCCTGATAAGGCTTCTCCATCTCCTTACATATATCCTTACCCTTATATAAGGCACAGCTTCAACACAAAACCTGTTCCAATTATTCTGTAGCTTGATGACGTTGAGGGTATTTTTCTGTAAGCAGCACTTCAGGTTCAATCTCCTTTACAAGTCAAAATGGATTCTGAAGTTTTTGATTCCTTTGCAAGTGTTCCCATCACCTACCTTTTCCAGTCTAACATTCCTTCAGGGGCAGGAACTACCATTCTGGAGTAAAGATGCAAGGAAAGTCATGTTTCTTACTGTATGCATACAATATCTCTGCACATCAAAGCAAGTGATTATTTTACTTCCACTAGCAAGGCAGTGTTTCTGAACAAGGACCCAACATCATGCACTGTTTGAACAACTGAAAACTTGGTTCTGGTGTCTCAGATCAGCAATCTAGAATCATTTATGCCACAAAGGTGCCTTATTTCATAGCAGGCATGCTGCCTAAGGAAGAAACCACAACAACTGTAAAGGAAAAAAAGATCTGCATCTCATATCTTGCAGGTAATGCAACTTCTCTTGCACAAATTTGGAATGTCCAAGCTTTCTACAGTGTTTAGAAGAACATGTTAAGTAATGAGCCTGCCTATTTGCAGTCTCCTTTGTCCAGCTTTCTCTCAAACTCAAAACACAGGAATTTTAACTGCAATCAGTTCAATAAGCTTTACAAATGGCTGTTTCACCAACAGTTTTGTTCAAAACCAGTTCGTTTTTATCAAAAAGTAACAAATCTTCACTAATCCCCATCAGTCTACAGTAGCATTACATTCTATTCCTAAAAGCATATATTTTCTGACAGATAAAGTTTGGAAGATGCCATGGTTTAAATCCAGCAGGCAGTTAAGTACTACATAGCTCTTTGCTGAGGAATGGGGGAGAGAATCAGCAAAAAAACACAAATCAGGACTCATGGGTTGAGATAAAAGCTATTTACTAAGATAGAAAAGGAAGAGGTATTTTACATAGTGTCCTTTATTCCCATTATCAAGGACAAGGGCAAGATATTAAAAAAAAAAAATCCAAAACAAAAGCGAGCGCTTAAAGTGGAAAGCAGAAAGAAAGTCAGTATTCTTAGCAAAAAAAAAAAAAAAAAAAAAAATCCACAAATGAAATAAGTTTCAAGTTGCATATCAGTATTTCTAATGTTTATCATAAAATACTGTACCATTCTACATTTCTAACTGTAGATGTTTTTAAAGGAGGCTTTTAAGTTGCTGTTTACATACCTTTATCAATTTTGCTGAGGAAAGAACAGCTTTATATGGAACAGTAGGTGCAGTCAAAATAACAGATGTGTTATATTCTTGCTCCAAGCGTTGATTAAAAACTTCCATATGCAAAAGACCAAGAAAACCCAACCTGGGAAAAAAGAATCATATTGGTCAAATATTTGTTGGTCACTCCAGTATGTTTATACTGCTAGTCTGGCATTATCAGACACAGCAAAGAACCTCTAAAAGCCAAAAAATATCAATCACAACAGATCGCAAAATATATGTGAATGTAGAACAAAAGAAAACAAACTACTTTTCGTCTTTACCTATCATTAAGTTGAATTACAGCTCCTAATCTTGAAATATTTTCATATGTCAATCGAAAATTGAAATTGACATAAAGCCTCACCTCCATCCAGCTCCTAAAGCAAGGCTACTGTCACGATGAACAGTGACACTGGAATCATTCAATGTCAGCCTTTCCAAAGCACTTTTAAGATTATTATATTCTGTTTGATCTACAGGATACATTCCTGTCAAAACATATGACAGAGAGATTCTGTGATAGAGCTTGATCTACTACGTACTTATCTTTATAGTACAAGCAGTAATAAGCAGTAACAATAACAAAACCAAAAACAGCTTGCTTTCTATTAATTTGACTCTTTCAATCTGATTTTTTTTTTTTTCCCCTAAAACCTTATTAAGGTAACATTCAATTAAAAAAAAAAAAAAAAAAAAAGAAAAAAACAGAAATTAACATTCAAACCATAACTGTAGGCATACTGTACTCATCTACTTCTTCACAGCTGTGGAAGATGAGTATACTAGTGAGTATAACCATTTTCTTGTAGGTGTACAGTGTAGCTATATAACTTAAGCATTAATAAATAAGCAAACGTCACTGAGACACTCCTTCAGCAGGTAAGAATACACAGGAAGAAGAAAAAAAAAAAAGTGCCATATCAACATTGCTTATATATTTTTTTTTTTAAGTGAATAGAATAAATGAATAAAAACAGTTGTCAGTGTAATTACTACTTGAAATAGGTTCCACTTTTCACATCACTGTGCTCCGATAATGCACAGGAAGCAGCACACATGCACACACACAGAAAAAATCCACATTGTTTACAGGATTACACTTTCCCCTCCTACATTCACTGGCAGCATAATATCCATGACAAAAATAAAGAAAGTTTTCTCAAAACTGATCAGGAAACTGAATAACAGAATTTCTTTCTAAAGCCATCTTCCATAGCATGTGTAGTAGTTCACTAAAGGTGGCAGCAACAGTCTAACAGAACTAATGATTAATAAGGACTTCATTTTTGAAAATATTAATCCTTCTTTTCCAGATACAAAGAAGGAAAAGCACTGGAAGAATATTAGGAGCTAGAAACATACCTTAGTATTGCAGTCATCTAAAGCCAGTCTGCAAGAATCTTGCCTGCTAAGTTGTAAAGAGCTATATAAACGGCACGTGTCTCTCTAGCTTAATTTCAGTGAAATTCTAATCCTCACAACTCTAAAATACATCTTAGAAGCTCTAATAGTTCTCCTGCTCTTGCTACTGAAAAAAAATGATTCCTTTTTAGTTAGTTTTCTCCTCACCTGCAAAAACCATTGGCTTCACTGACTTAAAGCCAGGCAAAGGCTCCACTGGCTGTTTATACATAAACAGTGTGTCTCCTATTTGGGCTTCTGTTACTTCTTTCATTCCAGCAATCAGGTAGCCCACTTGTCCAGCATATCTGAATAGAATTGGTATTATACAGACACTTCTTGGCATTATGAATATTTCCACTGTTTTTCCCCACTTCACTCAGCCCAGTTGGAAATTCAAATAAATTACCCCCATGAGCCCATAAACAGTCCAAAAAGCCACATTTAAACTGTTGCAAATTTTCACTGAGTTGCAAATTTTGTCTCAAGGGATGAAGCATCTGTTGACTCACATAACTGTAGTTTTGTTAAACAGACACAGTCAGCTCTGGATTTTTAATACTGTGCTACTCTCAGTTTGAGAGTAGAAGAAAGAACTTGAGGATCTATGACAGAAGATAGAACGATTCTCAGCTACCACCACAGTAACTTTTACATGTTAAATGGGAGAAACAACAAAAACAAATAAGCTCTACCAGTATATTATGCTGTTAGGAGAGGAACCTGTGGTAGATGGAAAGAGTGTACTAGTTTTGGCTGGAATGGAGTTAATGTGCTTAACAGCAGCCTCATATAAAAGCCATGTTTTGGATTCATAACAAAAATGGTGTTAATACCACACCAGTTTCTAAGCTGAGTAGTGCTTGCACAGCGTGAAGGCTTTTTTCATTTCTCACTCTACCCCTCCCAGCAAAGAAGCTACAGGCTAGCAGCTATCAGTCATGTCAGCAGACCCAAACTGACCAAAGGCATATTTCACACCATATAATATCACTCTCAGCAATAAGAAGTGTGTCATCTCTTCAAGGTAGCTGCTGTTCATAGACTGCCTGGATACCAAGCTGCTAGCGCATGTTGGTGGATGAATGGCTTTGCATCAAGTTTTTTTTCCCCTTTTTTTTTCTTTTTTTCTTCACTTGTTAAACAGTCTTGATCTTGACCCACGAGTTTTGCCTTACTTTTGTTTTTCCAGTTCTCTCCCACACTCCACTGATGCTAGAGGAGTAAGCTAGTGGCTGTCTAAGAATTTAGTTTCCAGCTGGATTCAATCCACCGCACACACAGTAATGTAGTCCCTCATTTAAGAGCTTCCCAAAAATGTCATTAAAAAGTACTTGGATGCTAACTGATGATGCCTCTTCACTAATTCTGGCATACCTGATTTTCTTCCCACTGCTGCCATGACGAGATAGTTTATGGAAGCTGTTGCATTCATGGACTTAAAAGTTTTCCACCCTCAAAATATGCTGCAGCAATAACTAAGATGAAGCCCCATTCCCTTCCACTCTCAAACAAGGTAGTTCCTAGAAATAAATTGGACAGCTGAATATCAAAAGCTAGTCTTAAGAACTAGCTGTCCAGATGTTTCATACGCTAAGTATACATCAATAAAAATGACTCCCTCCCACCAGCTGTGCCCAAAAAGCAGTCCCCTGAAGTTTCTGTCTCAGAATGACATTGAGCACTGAATTACAAATAATCATTACAATCAAAAAAAATAAAACAGCCTCTACCACTCAATCAAAAAAGTAAATAAGTAAAGAAACAGATTTGATATCTTACATCAACTTACGATTTGTTCAATTGAAAGAAACATTTTACTTACAGTTTGTGTGTTGGCTGTTCATTTGGAGTCAGAATTCCTACTTCATTAACTTCATATCTTTTATTTGTATGCGCAGACACAATTTTATGCCCTTTCTGAATCTCCCCACCAAAAACTGCAATGTTAGCTATGACACCTCGGTAGTGGTCAAAGGTGGAGTCGAATACTAAGGCTTTCAAGGGATCAGTAGTATTAAATTGAGGTCTATCACAAAAGATTTAAAACAATTATTAAAACAATAAGAAGACCGTTTTCCATTCAATATCAAATGAATGAGCACCCCCCACCCTTTGTGTCTAAGTAGAAGCTATATGCTTACAAAAATATCACTCCAGTAGCTCACCTCTCTTTTTCCATTTCAGACTGAATTCATTTTCCTTCCCCGTTTCTTAAGAACAAACAATTCTTCTCTACTGATACTCATTACTGTTTTAAGAATTTCAGCAGATATACATTGATTTATTTTAAAGATCTCAAACCTGAAGAGTCATTTTCTTTGATTTGCAATTCAAAGCTAACTTTTTCAGCTCAGAAACAAGATTTACTCCACATCTACTACCGAGATACTGTATAAATGCAACTTATGGTCTCCTAGACATCCTTACCTTAGACATCATAAGTAAAATAAATAACTTACGGTGGAATCTTTTCAATGACCTTTTCAAGAACTTTTTCAATATTTGTCCCTTGTTTAGCAGAAATCTAAAACAAGCCCAACAACAATTTTATAAGACATGTGTCTTAGACTCATTCAGTATCTATTAAAGTGTCACCTTCTCTTGTAAGTAATTTTGGTGGCAGGAGAGAACATTATTCATATAAATACTCACTATTATGAAATACACATTTGATTATAAATACCCTTTACATGATTTCTCCACCTGAATGGGACTTATTGTTACGGTAAAAATGAAAATAATTTAGAGGATCCACAAGCAAAAAAAATTTTATATGATGCCATTCATCATCACACATTACAATTTTTAACTAAGAATTATTTTTCAGGAGACAAGATCTAAATTCATACAGCACATCATATGAAAACAGACAGACAACACCCTGCTGAATTATTATGTAGCTAATGAAAGATTAGCATACAAAGTAGATACAGGTATACAATCGGACACTACAAATCTTGAACAGATCTTACCCTTATGCATTCATTAACAGGGATATCAAACAGCTTCTCAATTTGTTTTTCAACTCTTTCAGGGTCTGCATTCTTTAAGTCAATCTGAAAAACAACAAACAACTAAATGTATAGGCCATGACATCCTACATACGATCAAGAATTGTAGCTCTCCAATGTGCAAGTGAAGGATTCCTTACGTCTTTACTCAAATACTAAAGATTTTCAGGAAAAGATACATATCAAGAATTTTTCAGTACTATGTCTTGGTGCAAATAATTTATTGGAAATTGAAAATTGGACATGAAAGGCTACTTTGCAGGTCTAAAGTAAGTTCAGCTACTAAGTGGAAACAAATTGATAAATTAAATTACAGGCTATTACTATAAAGTTCCAATTAATCATTTCAGAAAAAGTCTTCCTTGCTTGATTACAGGAAGGATCCCTACTGCAATTATTTTTTGTTAAGAACTTTTATCCAAGAGCTGGTAAAATCTTTACTTTACAAAGTACTTTTAAAGCACAAATGCTACTTATGCCGTTTATGGTAGAAAACTAAGTACAATATATTAACTACATTCAAACTAAGTAATTTTGTTATTCCAGTCACACAGATTACAAAAACTGTAAAAAACAATGTATTTGGGTTTTTTTTTTTGTAATTAAGTTTACACTTTTTATATTGAGCTGCTACTCCTGTGTGTTATCATTAACACATGGAAGAATACAACAATCATCCTTGCAAGAACTTCTGTAAAGTTACTTTTGTAAAAACCCACTTGAATATTCCCCAGAATAAAAACCAAAAAGGAAGATGACAAATGGTTCAGATATCAAGACATTTTACACAATGCTTCTTAACTCGATTACCCAAACAGATTCCATAAATAATTTTTCATTGTTACTTACAAAAATGCTAGTACATGTATTTTATGAAAAGTAGGAATTCCCAGCAATCATTAAAATATTAAGAGACAATATGTTGTTGCTACATACTTATTAATTTTTCATTTTATGCTCCTATTTGAAGATTACTAAGAAAGTTATCTTCTATATATTTATACAACTCAACTGTTTAATTTGAAACACTACAATTTCATTACCTTGTTTACGACAGGAATTATTGCAAGTTGTGCTTCAAAAGCAAGATAGAAGTTTGCCACCGTCTGAGCCTGAATACCCTAGAAAACACACATCAAAGAAATCAACATGGAATTTCTTGTTTCTTTTTAGGCATATTACACATGCCATAGAGAAAGTTACCATCTAAGTACTCTGTGAGAATGTATCCTTATTTAAAAATCCTGATTCTATAATCCTCATATTACACTGCAGTAACTGACTCGTCAAAATGTTTTAGCAGCATAAAAATAAAAGTACAACAGATCTTTGATTTCAAAACCCTCTTAGTACACAATAAGTTTATGAAATTTTATGAACATTTTACTCCTGAAATATCAGTCAAGAAATTATTGATCTACTGATTTTAAAACTTGTGAATTCAAAAATTCAGAAAACATCACATTTGGCTTAGAGTTTTAGTAATTTTTAATTTGACCAATACTTTAATGTTGCTGTATACATATTACAGTCAACTAGCTAAATCAAGTGTGCCTGAATGAATCATCACACTCCAACAAGAAAATGAAGGTAATCAAAAGCATACAGTGAAACAGCTGTAAGCTCTCCAGATTGCCACTTGTAAAGTTCATGCAACGTAGAAAGCATCACCTGATTCTCCATTACTTCAGTGCTTCTGTTTCTATGGTATGGCACCACAGCACCTATTAAAAGGCAAGTATTCATCTGTGGCTTTTTTTTTTTAAAAAAAAAAAAAAAAAACTCCCATTAGTCTTCTGGAACACTAATACTTTTATGGAGCTAGACTACTGCAAAAATACTAATGGAAAGGTTAAAACATGCTGAACTCCTCTCTAGCTTATTTAAAGAAATTGCTGAAATTCCAAGGGGAAAACAAAAATTAAGAACTGCACCTCATTGGCATCTACTACAAGTAGGACACCTTGGCAGGCAGATAGTGACCGTGAAACTTCATAGTTGAAATCTACGTGGCCCTGTGGAGAAAATTAATATTCATAATTTCATATATTTCTGGAGTCCTTTGCAAAGATATCTACATTATGATGGTTTTATTTGTGTATCTGTTCATCCAAAACATAATTCTTACCAAAATAAATAAAAGGAAAGAACGCATTGAATAAACACAAGTCAGAAATCTGCTAAGTCCAATTTATAAATATAAAGACATGCAGCTCTGTGTGAATGAAACACTCCCTTTGCACTTATTGGTTATTATTTTTTTAATTAACTTACTGGTGTGTCAATAAGATTTAAGAGGTAGTTCACTCCTTTGTAATTGTAAAAGAGCGATGCAGACTGTGCTTTAACTGTAATTCCCCTTTCACGTTCCACTTGCAGTTTATCCAGTACTTGTTTGTTACGGTCAGTTTTAGCAATTGTTCCTAAGATCAAAAAAAAAAATAGTTTTATTATCTCATTTAGAATATTAGCTCTTCCAAATCAGCAATTGCTGAAAATAGTACTAACAGGCAGAAAATGCAACTTGCAGCAGCAAATCTAGTTCTTCCACTTGATTAAGGTAAATTTTCATTTGAAAATAAATTTATGCTTCAACTCTTTAACATTTGTTAAATGGGCTTTTATCTATGAAGTTACAGAAAACACTTTCCTGAATAAGTATAATACAAAACACTACGCAAGTCTAAATTAATGGTCCAGAAGTTCCTAAATAATTCTGACATTTAAGGAAAATTCAACCCTTATCATGGGAGAACAGCTCCATGGTTCCAACCAACACCAATCTCAAGGGCAAAAGGAGTATTATCATGGAGTTTGACAGACCTGAATTCAAAATTCCATCCTATCACAGGCATCAGGTAAAACTGCCCACAGTGAAACACAGAAGGCAATAACAAAGAATAACTTTGATCAAAAGCTTCTCACCAGGTTTTGTTTTGCTAACTCCTGTAAAGAGAAAAACAAAACTCTTCCAAAGGGTATTTCTGAGTAGTTAAGCTCTGCTCTGAAATTAGCCTCCATTTGGAAGACGCAGAAGTTGCTTTACAACTTAACACAGAGAGCTCAGTAAGGTAATCTATGTCTCCCTCTTTCAATTTGAAATTGAAGCCTAATTTTCCCAGTCAGCTGTAGTTTTGAAGACTCTCTAGCATTTCTGCATCACTTTTACTTAAAAACAGATAGTTTTCCTTATTCTCAGCAACACAAAAATTAAAACACTGAAGACAAAGATCTAGAGGATGACAAATACCTCTGAAGTAGAAAATAACACAACTTTGCTAACATTTTAGGATAAAACAAAGAGTAAATCCACAGAGCAACTGAGAATCCATAAAACTCACAGTAGCAGTTATTTTACCTACTAAATCAAAATAGAGCTGAAGATTTCTAAAATTTACTATGCAGCACTATATCAGATTCAGTAATAGCAAGCTTCACCACCAAGAAAGGCAGTTCTATATAGCTTGCTCAGAAGAGAAGGATAAACTGTTACCTCCTTATAAGTAAAAATAGTTGAAGTTCTTTCATTTCTATCACACTTTTGGAAAGTATTCTGTCCAGAATTTCTAGGTCATGACAGTCCTTCTGTCCGTACCAGAAACTGGCAGTAAGCCTCAAAAACATGTTCTCTTTGGTTTATTTCCAAAATACATTCCTTTTTTTGAGGGAATTACACAGTTTCTTAACTCTACTTACTGACAGATTTCAACATGAATAAGAAAACATATTAACATCTGTAGCACTGCACAACTGGAAGCCTAGAAGCAACCTGACAGCAAATGAGCAAAGAGATTAGAAAGTTTAGTAATAAAGCTACTGAAATCTACACATCAATAGAAGGTAGTAAAGATGAAAAGAGAACACTTACCTGTAATTTCCAGCAATCTGTCTGCTAGTGTGCTTTTGCCATGATCTACATGAGCTATAATACTGAAGTTTCTTATGCTTTCAACAGGATATGCTGACATATCTATTTTCTCCTGAAAAACAGAAAGCTTCTTTTCACAAACCACAGATACAATCTCTGTATACAGTCTGACTAAGCCTTTTAAAGAGAAATTATTCTTTTCTCTAGAAGAGGCATAGTTAGAAGACCCTAAATGTTTGCCAGTGTTCAAAATGCTAGTATTTTCTTTTAGCCATGGATACACATATACTTGTTATGACCCAAAATCAGTATGAAGCAAAGCATTGTGAAAGTTACTACGTTCTTATAAACACAGGCAGTTGGAAAACTTAACACAGTTTAGGTCTGTTAAACTACTTAAGACAACTTGATGTGGGGGACTATAAAGCTAAAGACATCATTCCTCCCAAGCAAGAACTCTGTGGCATTACCTGGCTTTCAGGCAGCAGTGCCAATTACATACTAAGGAGCACTCAGACTTCACAGAAAAGGAAGCAGTCTGTTTTGGCTAAATTAAAAAAAAAAAAAAAAAAAAAATCACAGAATCACAGAAACACCTGGGTTGGAAGGGACCTCAAGGATCATGTAGTTCCAACCCCCCTGCCGTAGAAAACACCTGACTTCCTAAGATCACACGCAGAAAGGTCCAGCACTAACTTCTCCTTGTGTTATTCATTCAAAAAATTTTGAAGAAAGGTGGCTTTGCCAGGAACCACAAAACTCCCAGTAACAATAACACCATGCTGAAAAACTCTGACTCCTAATTTTAGTGACACACAGCTCCTATCCCACCATATTATGCTTGCAACTTTGGGCCTGGCAGAGAAAAGAGAAAGCCCCAAAATCTTTGCAAGCATCAAAGCACTGATTAAACCGACTGATTAATCCCCGACAATGCCTCGGCTTGGAAGAGCAAGTTCTCCCACTACCAGAAGAACGCAAATGCTCCCACAGGAGAAAACCACTGCTCGTGAACATCTGTCTGCAAGGCCTTCCTCCTATACACGTGGCCACCGAAGTTGAGGGCTGCAGCAGCAAGCACTCCCCGAGATGGCTAACCGCCTCTGCGGACTGCACGATTCAGAATCAGGGACACGCGAAGCGAAGTCACCTTGTCGCGGGAGCTGTAGAACCGCTGGCAGGCCTCAAGCCCCGTGGGCAGCCAGACCGGAGGGCCCCGAGGGGCGGCCGCAGGGCAGGGCCAGAGCAGCCGGACCCACCACGAGACCGTCCTGCCGGTGAGAGCCATAGGGCCGGGACTGGATTCACCCCCTCAGAGCGCGAGCCTCAGTCCCATCGCAGCCCGCTGCCGCTCCCCTCACCGTTCTCTCCGCGTTCTATTTCACGCGGTGCCCCGGGACGCCGCTCCGGTCATTCCACGCGCCGGAAGCGCCTCCAAGCGGCGCCGGAAGCGATCAGAACAACTCCCCAACAGCGCCCCCTGCTGCTCCTCCCTTCTGCCCGCATCACACTCGCGGGTGCAGTGCAACGTTCGGCCGTGAGGTGGCGGGCGGGCTGCCTCGTACCTCTGCGGCAGTGCCATGGGTGCTCGCCGCGGTCCAGCTGCAGGGAGATTTGAATGCTCGCTGAAATCTCCGCAGTCTTTTTCCCTTTGCTGTTTTTTCCCTTGGCTGTTAAAAACAAAACAGAAAAAAATAGCGCAGTAGTTTGTTCAATCTGCAGCTCCGTATAGATTCACAGAACATCCCCAGTTAGAAAGGATCACAAGGATCACCGAATCCAGCTCCCACCCACCCAAAATGCAAACCCACTGTCCAAACACTTCTTAAACTCCAACAGCTCAGGGCTGTGAACACTGCCCTGGGGAGACTGTTCCATGCCAGAGTACCTTCTGGAGGAGAAACATTTCCTGATACCCAACCTGTCTTTATTCAGTGAATCTTCAGTCCTTCTAGATTTGAGATTTTATCACTGACTGTTTCAGCTATTCCCCTGAATTTAATACCGTTCACAAATTTGCTGAGAGCACACTGTTTCTCTTGATCTTAATGTGGACTAGTGGTTTTCTCCACTTGTTGTTGCTCACCAGCTGCATGTGTCAGCACAGCTAAATTTCAAACTAACAGTCAGTCTTTGTAGTTTATACTTATTCAGTTTTCAAATGAGATTGCTCTGGAGGATGGTGTCAACAGCCTTGATAAAGACAAGGTGTATTACTTGCTTAGCTCACAGCCTCATCCACATAGCCAGTCATTTCATTACGGAAAGCAAACAGATTAGACAAATAAGATTCACTGGTGCTAAATTTGTGCTGACCATTCTGCTTTACTACAATGTTCTTCAGAGTTTGGGGGCAGTTTCCAAGAGGACTTGTGATTTTATCACTCATTCATCACATCTATAATACACAGTATAATTATCTGATAGCCCATCACCAAGAGAGACCCACTGATTGAAAGTCTTACTCTGATTGCTATCTAGTATTCTTTTTGTATCAGTGGCATTACAACCACTGTATGTATTTTTTTCCTTCTTTTGTCTGTCTGTTCCACACACCTGATTCATCCACTCTCTTTTCTTGGAATTTTGTTTGTTTTTATGTTTGTGGTTGGGTTTTTGTTTGTTATTTCATCTTATGAGTTTGGGAATTTTGTTTTCCTTTCCCTTGGTACCAGGGGATTACTTGCCAGAGCTGTTTGGTTTCCAATTGCAACATCTTAGTACTGCTGCAAGGAACAGAACAGTGTTTTTCTAGAATACTTATTTACAGGTATACAGAGGAATTTGTTGCTTTGTGTAGTTTCTGCTTTGCCAGCCTACAACTTTCTGGTCTTCTCATCTGTTCTTCATAAAATTCTAGGAATATACTCAGAGCTGCTTTCCATGCACTGGACTTTAATACATTCTTCTTCAGCTAATGTGGTCTATTCCAGACATTTTTATGGTCTATTTTTTTCTGAACTTAGCTTCTATTATTACCTACATGTTCCGTTGTTTTCATACTTGAAAATTTTGCGTAAAGTTTGGGAAGAAATGCTCAGACCTATGGTGACTGGCTTTATCTTTCGCATCTACACAATCTAATCAAGATTTGAGATGTAGCTAAATAAGTATTTCAAAACTGCCAATAGGTCACTCAGCTAAGAAAACTGCAAATATGTTTGTCAGATTCATAATCTAGAGATATGCCAAATCAAGCAAGATGCAGTATATTTTGACGTTAAAACAATTTAAAGGTGATTTAATAATAGGAGGATGTAAATATAAAATTCCTAATTGATTCTAACTTACAATTATTTGGCCTAAAATGGCTGCATAAAATTATCTGTGAGTGCAGACGGTACAGAAGTTCTACATATACCAGCTTGGGAGCATGCAGTAGTAAATTTGCAAGCATAGTTCATTATGCTGTTCTGATCACATTGAACTTGGATAGTAACAGGATAAAGAGAGACCTTCAGCAGATTCATGAAAATGTATGGAGAAAGGGAAGCATGTTCTTGAATGGAAAATGAGTGTAACAAGAGCCATGAATCCAAAGCTGTAATCCATAGCATACAAATGAATATAATAATCATTTTTGGAGGAAAACATAGTTCTTGTAGATTGTCTGTAGACTGTCTGTAGATTGTTTGTCTTGTAGATGCACTGTAAACATTGGCTTACTCGTGTAGTAACAGAGAACCTAAATAAAATGCATAGCAATCTCATAATTGCTAAATGGATGCTGTCTTCAACATTGACAAGGATACTAGCAAATCTAAGAAGGCTCTTTGTTAGTGGAAATTAAACTGCACTTTACAGACTGTCTTCAAATATCACCACTGTAGAGCAATATAGACAGATACAAAGATAAAAGGAATTAAAAACAAACAAACAAGACATCTTCAGAAGTGGCTGTACTATCTGTTCAGAGTAGCAACACACATTTTTTATTCTGTGTAATGACCTGCACAAAGTAGTGTAGTCACAAAAATATCTGCTGAGGCAGAAGTTATTGCAAACCAAATGGAATGACTAAAGATCGCACTTGCACTTCACATCTGCTGCTTAGAGAACCAAAACTCTTCCACCTGCACACCTGGCTGACTGAACTAGCAGTGATCCAAGGAAGAATGCTGGAGAAGTTGCCAAATGAGCTGATGCATCGTGCCTTTGTTCTGGCACTCACTCTTGTCTTGTTCATGTGGTTTGAACAGTTATGGGGTGAATGCCAGTCCACGCAGAGTGAGATTGGTCCTTTATGCTGAGCCATTGGCACATGTATTTTTTAAATAAATGAAGACAATCAGGAATAGACCTACTTTTCACATATGACTTCTAGTCATGTCTACATAATATATTAAGCAAGTTTAAATTGGTGGTCTTTCATTAGGATAGAGCACAGCGAAAAACACAGAGAAAGTCATTTGTATTTACCTTCACTTTTCAGCATGTATAGATATACTCAGAAAAAAATAAGATTTTTCATCAGTGTGCATTGAACTCCATATGCAACAGAGCATATTTACTAGAACACTTATGGAAAACTGTACAGTTCAGCAGAAGAATAAATGTTAAAGTGTTTACAGGACAGCAAATCAGTAGCATAAGCATGAACTTTCAAGTGATCCATTTATGTGTCAAAATGTGATGAATGGACATACACAATTAACATTTCCTGTACTCCAAAAGCCATTAGTTACAATGAAAATAAATGGAATGTACATATCATTAGTTGTATTGACTAACATTGAAGCCAACCACACCGAATGATGAATTCCAATATTTACAGACTTATGATGGAAAATATGGAAAGGAAAAAAAAAAAAAGAGAGAGAGAAATAAACATAATTTTTTTGCCTAATTCTCAAGGAATGTATTTCTCTGTAGCTGTAAATGGATGCAGCATTGAATGTCTTCTAAGTAATTATTTCAGTTGAACTGCAAAAGATAGTTCTGTTATAATTTCAGATCTGTAAGTGTTATGTGTTATTTATTGGCAAGCGCATTCTGTAGAAGCAAATGTGTTCCCCAAATGGCATAGTGTCATAGTCTTAGTTTTGATAGGGTTTGTATGTTTTCCTGAAAGGTGACAAAATTGCATTTACACATTCAATGATCTTATCATCTGCTAAACTTTCTTAAATGTGGTGGGTACACAGAATGACATAGAGTTCTACAATGCAGTGAATAATTTACCATGAGCTGAGAAAATGTAGCCTAGATTTCTTGGCATAAATGCAAGCAGAAGATTGGTGTCTATGGAAAGCACACCCTTTTCTATTCAAGTGAGAACATGCCTCATTTGGAAGCAATCTTTGGTAGCACTGGGGAACTGTGGAAGTGTGGAAATGAAAACAGATCACATCATGTTAGTTAAAAAGAAAAAAAGGGGAGGGGATAAGGATTTCTGCATGTAATTTGTAAGGATTTATGTAAAAAAGCATCACTAATACAAACAAAATATTTCTATTGTCCATTTGTAGTTAACTCCACATGGAATAGTTCTACCAAATACATTTTCTGTCACTATGAGCAGTCAATAAAATGGAGTGACTTCCTTACTGATAACATCTGTACAAATGTACTCTTTTTGTAGATGTATTCCTCTATGCCAAATTCAGGCTTTCAACTGCACAGTATTGGAACTTGGAACTTTAAAAATTAAACTGGAGAAGAGAAGGCTCTGAGGAGACCTTAGAGCTGCCTTCCAGTGCCAGAAGGGTGCCTACAGGAAATCTGGAGAGGGACTTTTTATAAGGGCAGATAGTAACAGGACGAGGTTTTAAACTGGAAAAGGGTGGATTTAGATATCAGGAAGGAATTCTTTACTGATGATGAGATGCTGGAAAATGGTACCCAGAGAAGTTGTGGATGCCTCCTCCCTGGAATCATTCAAGGTCAGTCTGGATGAGGCTTTGAGCAACCTGGTCTAGATGGAGGTGTCCCTGCCTATAGCAAAGGGGTTGAAATAGATGACCTTAAAGGTCCCTTCCAACTCCAAACATTCCATGATTCTATGAAAGACTATATATGACTGGATAAAAACTAGAAAATCCTCTTTTTTTCCTCCTTTTTTCTCTTGCAGGAAAAAAAATATCAAGTGCAATGTCCACATTGTACATGCCATTATATCTACAGTATGCCTTTCTGAGCGGAAGTTATGATGAAGGGAGAATGGCACAAATTGATGGCAGTGGCTGGAGTAAGAATTTTATTTCTTCAGACTGACAGTGAATTTCTGTTTGGAAGAATTCGTTGACATTAACTTGTCACGTTACCACGTCAAGTTGGTCTCAATTTGCACTTGAAAATGCGGCTGTAACTTCAATCTCTCAGCACTTTGCTGTAGAACAGACAAACAGTTCTGCTCTAGTCAAGCTGACAGAAGTAGAAAACGTAAAGGTGTTTCTTGCCTTAAAAATAAAATAGCAAAGGCTGTTGAAATCTTAC